GAACACAACTTACTTTCTTCAAAAGACTTTACTAATTTGTTGAATCAACTTTATTCACGTAATATTTAAACTTCCATCTTTTTATCTGTTTCGTTAACAAATATATATATATATATTCAATATTCAACAGGTAAAGGGATACAACTGTTACCTTAATCTCCAATATCAAACTATAACAGAAATTTACGATGTAGAATACTAATTAATCTGAACTCGTTTATTCTTTGAAAATCCTTTTACTGACAGGAACACTGAACAAACTCTCTATCTGTTCTAAAGAATATTCTCATTTTCATGTTGTTTATATTTGTTATATAAATGCTTTATTCTTGTTTTTCTAAAAAGGAATATTGTTTGTTTTATATTTTGTCGTTGATATTCTTGTGCCATACCCAAAGTTAAATGTTTGTGGAGAAGTTTATATTCACGCAGCCAACTGATACCTTCTGATATATACATATTTTTCCTAATAACCTATTCCTCCACAACAGTGCCATATACATAAAATTATCATTATTATTATTTTGTTAATCCATGTATGCGTGAATTAATTTATTTTAAATTGGTTACATTTTTCTACCAAATTTTGTTAAGGAACTCACGATTAATCTAAACAGGCACCTTTCAATGTTCGTCCAGTTGTTAAATTCGCAATCCATTCACGTACACTTTGCTATGTGTTACTTTCTTCCTAAAAACCAGATCTTCTTCTGATTCATGCTACACTAATTTCCACCACCGGCCGGATGTGAACGCTCCGAACACCCAAAACTGAAATAAAATTCCGTCAACTGCGCATAGGCTCCACATATACCTTCAGTTTTTACTCACACACTCAAAGAAAAAATAAGCAATATAATCCAGAATTTCCATCCAATAGCACCCACTGCCCCCTAAAGAAACAAAATAAAAATCGGAGCCGATTTGAGCCTAAGAAAGGACATTAAAAGAAATTTTTCGGCAGTTGGACGGCATCTTGGCCCGGGTTTACAGACTACGTTGGAAAACGACCTCTTCTTTTGGCTGTTACTGTGACAATATTGTTCATCTAAATTTTCACTTTATATAATGAGTAAATGTCCATTGCGGTATAATGGATAATGGCTCCGAATGAGGAATCAGAGAGCCGAGTTCGAATTCTAGTCGGGTCCGTTATATTCACCTACGCGAAAATACCTTTGGGAAACGTATTAATTCATCTCCTCCAGTTATGGCTTGAACAGCAAGATAGCCTGAGTCCTATAGCTTTGGTTGGCAACCAGTCTACGGCAGAAAAAAACGGTACCTTACTACCGAATCAGTCATGAATCGAAATAGATATCATCGCCCATGTTTGTTTCGTGTATGGAACTTAATTGACTAGCAAAATACCACTGCATTTTGGATTATGAAATTCCCAAAGTTTTTAGTCAAAGTGCAGAGTTATTTTTCCATGCTATTTGTAGCGTGCGTTGTTAGTTCATACAAATAACATTTTTAAGAAACATAAATTTTACAGCGAAACAAACATTTTAAATTTCGTTTATTGCATATTACGTGGGTGTTTCATATAAAAGAAAAAAATCAGTTGGAATTTAAAGGTTGTAGGGTTGATGTATTTTAAGCTGGTACGGGTTTATATGTAACAGTTAAGATAGAAGCTCACAAAAACTTGTGTTTCTACCTCAGACCATTCATTCTCTCTTTTTATATAAACTGTAGTGAAACAAAGTTCTCAATGTCTATTGTTTTCTTTTTGATCCAGGAGTTAGGGTAAATAAGTATAAACATCGTATTAATGGTCGAGCTCAAGTCAACCTTGCGCAGAGTTGGAACAACCAAAAAAGTTTGTACTTACTTTATCGTTGGATGATTTAAACATGGTTTTAGTACATCCGTTTACTTTTTCATGGTTCAGAAGTTACGGTAAGTATAATCATCATTATAATGATCGCGCCCAGGTCGGCCTTGCGCAGAGATTGATCAAAGCATAACTTGTTTTACTTCATCGGTGGCGTGTCGATATGGTTATAAGGGTCGAGCTTAAATCAGCCTTGCGCTGAGTTGGAACGAACAAAGAAAAGGTTGATTTATTTCATAGGTAGAAGTTTTGGAAGGCACTTGCGAACGTCATGCGTTGGAAAGTGGAAAGAGATTTCAGTCGTCATCGGACTAAGAAAACTAAAGTTCTCCAGCGGTAACGTAATTACCACTTTGTAATACATCTTAGAGCAGGGGTGGGGTGAGACAGAAACAAGTTTGTCTTTTTATAGACTTAACCAGCACCGCCTAACGGCGTTTGACGAAGCTAAGTGAGGTAATCATATTTCCGGTTCCTTTACTCTCAGAATCATGGGAAAATGTATTACTTTTTTATTTATTATTATTATTATTTTGCTTATCGATTTTATTTCATTTTTTTTTTTCACATCTCTTTGTCCACCTTTCAGTTAACGACAACCATGGGAAGTCCTCCTGGCTATCAAGTATAAAAAGTACTTTGTCATCCGAAGTAAAAGCTTAAAAAACAGTTTTCTTGTTACATTCTTCATCCTTCATTTACTTTGAATATCAATCGTACACACCATGAACAATTATAGAACTGTTGCTTTTTTTTATTACCTTCAAGTGAGCTTAAAAAAATCGATCAAAAAGTTATGCCTGTTCTAATTTCATTTAAAAAAATATCAGTATTCTCTCCGTTTTTTTTAATCTATCAACCATGAAGTGCCGAGAAGCCCATGAGAAAAAGTCTGATATTTATTATGATAAGTATTCTCTCTGACAGATGTAGTCTCGTCAAGAGAAGGCTAACACTCCCGTGGATATAGCGATACTGCCTTTTATACAGTACATAATTTACATATCGCTACAATATTAACACCACTTTTCTTTCAAAATGGCTGCCTCTCTGGACATTCGTAAATAGCTATTGCAGGGGATATAAGAAGGTTGCGTGAATATTTAAGATTGTGCTTCAAATAAAATATGCAATATCCACAAACATAAATTATAAGAAATGGCCAAATGGTAACGATATTCAATCACGGCAAAAAACACATGTCTGAAACAACGAATTAAATTTTATATACATAATTTACAATTTGTTTGTAATGATGTGTGAAAAAGTATATTTTAGAGAAAAAGTTCTTTGTTGTTTCGGAAATGTTTAATGTCTAAAAAGTTGTCTGCCTTTGATTAAAAAGGTTAAATTTAACTTAGACAAAAGATTTTTCTATGAAAGATATCAAGTGAAAAAGTTTGTTGTGTAAATTTTTCTAATCTCTCATGAAGGAAGTTTGTTTCTTTGGCGGCACATAATTCCTGTGTGTATCTTTCGCGTGTGTGAATCTCAAATGCGGCGAAAATTCGTTTACTATTTCTATTTCTATTTTTTTTTTTTTTTTTAACAACCAAATCCGGTCAACGGGGTTAGGTAGCTGTTGCGAATTTTTCTGGGAAATGCGTGGGCGAATGTTATATTTTTTATTTTTTAGCCAATAGGATTTCTTGAAACATTTAAATTAGGGATGAAAGATTTTTTTACGTCGGCTGAGCCTACTTTTGCACAAAATTTGATTGTTTTGTTATAGAAATTTCTCGAAGCTTATTTTATATTTAACAACCAATGAAATTCTAGAAAATGTTTGAAATTGTAATGACGGTTACTAAACTATCATATTCTTTCTGTTATTGAAAATAAGAAGTCCTGCAGACATTCACAGGAGGGTGTTGAATGCTTATGGAAAAGCTGTACTTGATGTAAATACAGTTCAAGAATGAGTAGGGTTGATGGGGTTAATAACAATCCTCTAGAGAAAAGAGAAACTGATAAGTCTCGCAATGGCAGGCCAGTTGCTTCTGTGAATGAGGACAAAGCCAAACTGGAAATGACAAAAGAATCTTACTTATTATAAAACGCAGATTGTGTGTGTGTGTGTGTGTGTGTGTGTGCGTGTGTGTGTGTGTGCGTTTATTTATATATTGGATCGGATTTCCTACATTTTTCAACCGATTTCAACAAAACTTCACAGGACTGCGTAAAATTACCTTGCGGTGGTTCTGACAGCGCCAAAAATTGGAAAAACACAATTGTTTTTGCACGAAATCAATTTGAAAACACGATAAAACATGATTCTGTCGCCAGAATGAAAGGGGGACAACTCATATCGAGTTATACTTATAAAACCCAGGTTGTTTGTGTGTGTGTGTTCGTTTATATATGGGATCGGATTTTCTACATTTTTCAACCGATTTCAACAAAACTTTTTTTTTTTGGCAGGTAGTGTTTCTTATTGTCTTGCACACTTTTTTCTTTATTTTTACATTCAGAATGCTTTAAAAATTCCATTTACAAGACAATTGTTTATAATAAAATTATATTCAATCGATAGTCTCATAACGATTGAAAACAATGTTTTTGTTTGAGTTTGGGTTTGACCAATTTGTAAAAAAATATATATATATATAATTAAGACATGCGTGTCAGTCAACCTGAAACAATAATCTTTTTCAATTTTATTTTTCAGTCTTTATGATGGTGGATACTTGATCTATCTCTTACTGTTACATCCTCAGGGCAACGCCGGGCTCTACTGCTAGTCACTATTAGAAAAGGAGAGTCAGAGAATAACTGTTCTCCGGTTATGATAAGGTGAACGAAGACACTTGAACATGAGGAAGAAAGAAGCTAATTACCTTCTGCAACGCGAGTACGCATGCGCTCATTCAAAAATGAAATGCCACAATTGAGAAAGAAGCTTAGTGTTGATTAGTTTTTTTTTAATTCTGTGACTTGCATGATTGGTATGCTTCTACTATTAAATATGTTTTTAATAAAGAATAGTCATTTTAATCCCGCCCTCATACAATTTTCTCTTATTTTGAAAGATTACTAATGTACTTCTGCTAATAACAGAACTTTTGTTTCATTGCAATTTTACTTCAGTTCGTAATCACTACAAATATTTTACGTTCAACTTTACGTTTTTAAAATAAATTTGTTTGCTATATGAATTTTTTGAATATTTCAGTTATTTTAATTCCTTTTTATTCATTGATTCTATAAATTTACCATTAATGATAAAATATTCTTTTGTTGTTTTACACACATTTGTGTTCATTTAAAAACATTCAATCATTTTTTGTTGTAAAAATCCAAATTGCAATCTAAGGGAGGTAACTTTTTCTTCCAAAATTTCTCATTATTGAATAGACATATGTATTTTATTCCCAACAAGAAATGACTTTCAATCATTAAACTTCCCTTCACTAACCTTTAATTAAGTTAACTGGTAACCATTCAACTACAATTAGTAACCCAACAATAATGGCTAATTAGACTATTCACATTCCATTAATTTTTTAATATGCTTACAAATTTTTATTTTAAATAATTTCCATTGGTGTGATTTTATATTGTGTGTTCATTTTTTAAGATTCATTTTCACAATCATCACAATCTCCTCGTATTTATTCATTTTAACTTAAGACAATGTTGGTAAAAAAGAACGGATAGATTTTATTATTCAAGGGAAGTAATCAAGTATTTGTCTATAGAAGAGTAAGAGTTACTTACCGTGTCCGGTTACAGCAGCGCATGGCCCGAGCGGAAGTAGTTTGGTTTGTTTACCTCCGAAAAAGAAGAGTGATATTTTCTTGCGCCCGGTGCGTAAAGTAAACGCTTTTTAGAACAAACATGGAGACTTCCACCAATACCTCAACTGGCACCTCAGAAGTTTCCGATAAATCTAACAGATATGACCGGCAACTCCGGTAAGGTGCCTCTTTGTTTATATTTATACTTATTGACTTTTTAACAATTTCATATTTGCGTGCATTGCTGGTGATGTTATTGTTCGTAAAAGGAATATTTTTTTTAAGTTAACGAACATCACCCAACAACATTAAAAAAGGATATTTTTAAAAACTCCTGCTTTTTCTAGATATTTATTTATATTTCAGAAATCAAGTTTATATTCATTTTCGTAAACGCACTCTAATTTTATACTTAAAACCCCATTACTTGTCTGTCATTTGACTTTCAACTTAAAATCAATTTTTAAACTATTTGATTTATTTTTTAACAGGGTAACTATCCAAAAAATATTTTATGTAAAAATAAAATTCAGTTAAAGTAAAACCATCTTCTAAACACAATAATTTTTTCTTGATGTCTGAACAGTTTGATAGTTTTTAACTTTTACTTTTTCTTCCATTGTGTCAAGTCAATATGATCCGAATTTACCATTGCATATCTGAGTTGACCAGTCGCATTTTTATGTCAATACAATACTTTCTGTCTGAATTCCTTGGGTGAGGAGTTACCATTATTTACATTCGGAACAAATATATTATTTTTATAATATTTCTGCTGTTGTGCGCTTACCCGGCTTTCTTCGTATGTTCCTAATCTTCTTTTTTTTTAACCACATGTGCGTAAAAACACTGTCAATTTTAAAAATGTTAACACTTTCACACTTGATTCTTTGTTATTCAAGGCTTGTCATCCCTTTGCTCCTGCGAAGAGGTGTTGTATTTTTTGTTCAACGTCAATACCCTCTAGCCCTAGCCACCAAATCTCCTAAAGACATTGTTTCAATGTCCACCTGCAGTTTTAAATGTAATCATGGGAGAACCAGTTACAAACACCACCTTCGCCACTATTTCCAACCTCCTGATCTCATTCAGTCAGTTCTGTGCCATGCGTGATACACACTTAGGCGATCATGTATCTTTCTATACAGGTAGATTTTTTTTTCCCACAGTAGGTTGCCATATCTTTCTGTGGTAAACCAGTTGCCATCCAAGGCTATAGAACCCGGTCTGTCCTGCTATTTACCCATAGCTGGGGGGAGAAGAAAAGTATTCATACCTTTCCTAAGGGTATTAGCATGTAAGTGAATGTAATGATCTTATAAGGATATGCCTATTTTTTACCCAAACCTTTTCACCCTGTACAGCTTGCTGTAGGTTATAAATGCCCCTCTCTAAAAAGTGTCTTTCAGTCTAGTCTCTGTCTGCCCTTCAACCAACTGATCAACCTTGTCCATTTCCAAATATAAAGTTCATACATATCCTCTCAAGATACAAATGGAGAAATGACAATACTGCCCAAATCTTCTATAGCTTCACTACTAATTTCACTTTCATTAGCCATGTAACTATGCCTTCATTATCTCGCTCTTAATCTTCAACATACCACCACTTATAAACTAAAATAACCTGTATGTAATTAAATGGGGAAAAACAATAAACAATAATTACTGTTATCAATTATCTCCTACAAGAATTTAAATCATCTTTTTTTTTTAAACAGGACCCCCAGTTACTGCAAATCTGCTCTGAATTATAAGATAAAAAATGCAATAAAACTAAAACATTGTTTAATTAGAAATGCTTTTAATTGCTTTTATGAATAGGTTATATTATGGACACTATAGTCTTAAGAAAAAAGATTTTTTCACTGAATAATGAAAAAAATAATTATTAAGACATGGAATGTTAGAACATTAAACCACTGTGGCCAGTTGTAAATTATAAAACAGGAGATGAAATGTCAAATGTATGTGAAAAAAATGTAGCCAAATAATGGATATTTTGTTACTAACAAAAACAGGATTATATATGCCAGTGGAGAGAAAAATAAAAGATTAGTTGGACTGATCCTAGACCAAGACATGTAAAAATGCATTCTGCGATAGTGTCAGTTATCTGAAAGAATTCTTGTCATAATGAAACTATAATGAAAACTTTTTAACAATATCCATCATAATTGTGTATAGACCAACAGCAGAAATTACAAAAGAAATCAAAAGTTTTACACTGTGCTAGACAATGTCAAGGCTTAGTGTAAATTGCAATAAATTATAATTGTCATAGAAGATCTGAATACCAAAGTAGGCAATGAGAGGGATGGTGAAATAGAAAATTCAGTCTAGGAACCCACAGTGAATGCAGAGAAAAATGTGTCTAGTGGTGTACAGCAAAGTAGTAGCCAACATCTGGTTTCAAGAACACCCAAAATGAATATGGATATGGAGAAGCCCAAGAGGAAAAACCAAAAAACCAAATTGACTACATAACTATCAACAAGAGATTCAGGAATGCAGTTGTACACTATAAAACCTATCCAAGTACCGACTGCAGAAGGGATCATCTCCTGGTTATATGTAAACTTAGAATGAAATTAGAGAAACTGAAGAAACTTAATGCAGCACTCAAATTTCAATACAACAGACTCTTGAACCACCCAAACCAGAAGGAGAAATATATGGACAATGTGAAAAGAAGATATGAGGGATGAAATGGAAACTCAAAGTGGGACATACTAAAAGCTTTAGTGACATCAGCAAATGAGATCATCCCGAAGGAAGACAAAGAAGAAAAAAGTGAATGGATGACAGATGAGATTCTCAGCATGATGAAAAGAAGGCAAAATCAATGCTAAAACAGAATATAGAACACTACACAAAGAAATAAGGAACAAATGCAGAGAGTCTAAAAAGGAATGGCTCAATGAAAAATGTGCAGAAATATTAGTATCACGTAAAGCAGATATGCCTAAAAACATAAGAGAACTAACAGGACAAAAGACATGCTCATCTACAGGATGTATAAAATCCAAGGACAAAATGATATTAGAGAAAGAAAAAATACTTCAGATATGGAACAAATATATCGGAGAACTCTTCCACCATGAAAGAGAACAGCTGGCAATACATAGAAATACCGACAGATCAGAAATATTATAAATTGTAGTGGAAGCTCCACTGGTCAAATTGAACAGAAACAAAGTAGCAGGGCCAGTCAGAATTGCAACAGAGGTGCTGGCAGCCTTAGACAATTTTGGCATAGATGAGATTACAGAAGTAATAAATGAAATCTACAATAGTGGTGAAATACCAGAAGATTTAAGCAGATCTATTTTCATAACACTACCTAAGAAACCAGACGCAGAGGAATGTAAACTCCATCAGACAATCAGCTTAATGAGCCATATAACAAAACTTATCATCCAAATTCTGAAGAATATGGCATGCAACAGAATCAGACTGGAAATAGGACAAGAATAATGTGAGTTCGTAAACAACACTGAAACAAGGCACACCTTATTTATGCTCAGAATGTTATCAGAAAGAGCAATACAAATGCAGAGGGACATGTATCTGTGTTTTATAGATTACACAAAAGTATTCAATAAAGTATGTCACAAAGATCTGTTAGAACTGCTCAGTAACCTTGACATTAGGATATTAGAATAATCAAGAACTGGTGGCAAACTGACTGCATATGGATAGAAAATGAGTTCAGCAAATACATAAAAACAGAAAGAGTTGTAAGACAAGGATGTGTCTTCTCACCAGACTTATTCAACTGATACAGCCAGGCAGTTCTGAGAGAAGTAAATGTCTTGTCAGGATTTGTTGTTGACGGCCACACTCTTAACAGCATATGCAGATGTCATATTATTAATAGCAGACACAGAAAGGAAACCACATAAACTTCTACAGAAGGTAGTGAAGGAAAGTAAGAAGAAAGGACTTAACATAAACTGCAAGACAGAATTCATGGTTGTTAGCAAAAGGATGAACTCAAAATGCAAATCAAAAATCAGTGATACCAAAATGCAACCAGTACAAACAATTAAATATCTGGGAAGTGTTCTAACAGAGCATTAAAAGTGTGACACTGAAATACGAAGATGCATTGGGATTGCTGAAGATGCATTTGGAAAGCTAAGCAGAGTATTAAGGAAATAGAAAAACTTTGTTAGAAACAAATAAAAGAGTACTGAACTGTTATGTGATATCTATCCTCCTATATGGCAGTGAATGCTAGATAATCTAAAAGATGAAGAGATTTGAAGCAACAGAATGGCGGTTCTACAGAAGGATGCTGAGGATACAATGGACTGAACGTGTGAGGTTTTAGAGAAAATGGAAACAAAAAGGAAACTTATACTTAACATCAAGAAGAGACAATTGAAATTTCTTGGGCACATAAGGAAAGATGGCTTGGAAAATTTGATACCCACAGGATAGATTGGGGAACAGAAAAAAAAAACAGAGTATAACATACTTGATGGGCTTGAGTAAATTGATGACAGAATGAGATTTAGGAGAAATAGCAAAAAGACAAAAGTTATTAAGAGCTACAAGGGACAGGAGGTTGTGGAGAGCCATGATCCTGAGGAGACACAGTACATAAAGAAGAAATTAATTTCTACAAGAATTGTTTTCATTTTTTAAAAATTTTAATTAGACTAATTTATAAAGTTTTGAATCTTTTGTAATTCTGTATTAATTTGTACATGTTAGGTGATATTGTTAAGTAAAAACTATATTGACTAATCATAAATGGAAAAGCTTACTACAATTTATAGCCCCCCTCCACAATTATTTGAAAAAGAATTTTGAATTTTTTTTTGTGTGTGTATAGATGTGCTGATTTTTGTGTATATGGATGTCCATACACAACATTATCAGAAAATACAAGCAGTAACTATCGTGAATTTAAAGCTGAAGTACTTAAAATTTAACAAAAAATTAGATTGCAGAAAATATTTTCCTAAATTTTCAAGATTACTAAGTAGTTAAAAATTATATAAAAAAGCACTTACATTATTTTCCTTAAGTAATTTTTACAGATATGCTCCCCATAGAAAAAATTAGTTAAATTTTCAGTTGTCAATAAAATTGTCATACTGTGGCCACCTTAAAAAAACACCTACCTCTATGTTAAAAAATGCCATCTGAAGTAAAAGCTTAAAAAACAACTTTTTTTTAATTACATTTACCTTTCTCCATTCACTTTGAATATCCATCATACACACCATGAACAATTATAGAACTGTTGTTTTGTTTTTTTTTTATTACCTTCAAGTGAACTTCAGAAGATCGATCAAAAAGTTAAGCCTGTTCTAATTTCATTTTAAAAGTATCAGAATTTTCTCCTCTTTTTTTTTTTTTTTTTTTTTTTTTTTAAACTATAAACCATGAATAAACACCTACTTTCATGTTAAAAATCATGTCTCCTCTGGATGTTGATTTCAGTGTCCATTTTTTAGAAATGATACAATACAGTTTCAAGATATGCTATATTTATGAGCAAAAAATGCTCAATATGAGAGATAGAGCATGTGTGTGTGTAAATATGAGGATGGACATTGAGGTCAAGACCAAGAGGCAACAGTCTGGTTCAGGCTTGAACATAATAAAGAGTTTAATACTATCCAAAATATCAAGCATCAGAACATCTGGTACATATCCTCCCAACAAATAAGGGGAGACTACCATATTCTAGTTCTTTCCTTATTCATTCATTCCAAAATAAAAACAAAAACATTTAAAAAATAACAAGTGAATCTTGCTCTGATTTGAACATTTAATTTGGAGGTCAGCAGGCAACTGATATTTCCACTGTGCCAGCATTCTTCTATTTGATCAGCATGATATAATCAATTTGCAAATACTAAGTTGGGCAGAGTGCACAGATACACAATATTTTAAATCAAAAGTAATATTTGTTTTAAATCAGATTAATTAATCTAAATCAGCTAATATTCTTCAAATGAAGTTTCAGAAAATATTTTATTTTTGAAAGATTTTTTAATAAAGAGAATTGCATTATGTTGACAGATGGCTAAAAATGGAAAAATCAACAAAGTTTTTGTGATTTTAAAAAGAATTAAAAACTCCTCCCAATCAATTTAAATTAGTTTTGAAGTAGAGTAAAGTATTTTGCTTATTGAAAATATTAAATTTAATCTATTAGCTTGAAATTAAAACTAAAATAAAAACTTCAAGAAAAATTTTACATTTTTAAAAATTCATTTTAAACCTTAGCTATTGCATTTCTTTGGAGGTTCCTAATTTATTATCAAATTTGAAACTTATATGGGAAAATGATATATAAATTTTTATATATCAAGGACAATTTTAACAAAATCTATAACAAAGTGGAAAACATTTTTTGTGTGATACATTTTGTTCTCCTTTATATGTATGTGTAATCATATCAGCATAAAGATCACTTTAGTCTGAAGTCCTAAAGGATAAAATGTGTCACATGAAAAAAATTTTTCACTTTGTTATAGATTTTCCTAAAATATATATTCCCTTATTCTTCCATTTTTAAGTAAGCACATCCTCTTCTTCCAGATTTTTTTCTTGAAAGCTGCTCATGTTCACCGATTATTTCGTAACTTTCTAAAATTTCTTTCAGATTATGGGGAGACCATGGACAGGTATGTTTGGAAGCAGCCAAAATTTGCCTGATCAATGCCACAGCTACTGGGACTGAAATACTTAAAAACCTTGTATTACCAGGTCAGTGAAATGGTTCATTTGCTAGACTTTTTCAAATCTTCTCAGTGAATTCAACTGCACCCTTATCTTATACAGTAGAATCCCTGACAACTGGACTAAGAAGGCCTTCCGGATATGAGGAATTAGTCACAAATTCTAGACATGAGGGGTTATATTTAGATTAAAATAAAAGTACTGAAATCAGGTTTAACATTTATTTTCAATGTTTTATAGTAAACAAAATAAGCTAAGTGAATGAAATATAACGGAATTGATTTTAAGGAAAAAGAAATAAATTATGTAATGTTAATGAATATTCATTAAATTAAGTATGACACTATTTACATTATTCAGACTATTGTCCTCATCTTTGTCGCCATATTTATTACAACGTTTCAGCCATTGTAAGCTCAGGCCTTCTTCAGGTGGTTGGAATGAAGAAGGCCAGAGCATACAACGGCCGAAACATTGTAATAAATATGGTGACAATGATGAGGACAATAGTCCAAATAATGTAAATAGTGTACATAATACCTAATCTCAGAAATATAGACAGATATGAAGTATGCCACATATAACAAGGATTTTTTAATCAGCATTGCATGATGATTCTTTCTCTTCTAATGTCATTCTCAACTTTTTCTGCATTTTGTTTTGTTTTTGTTCTTGAAATTTTTTAAATGAAACACACTTTTTAACCCTATGTGCGTTATTGCAATCCTCATAGCTAAATGCTGGCTTTCTTTCCATAAAACTGACAACCTTTTCAATAGCTTTTTCAATTTCAATCCAAGTTTCATCACAATGATGTTTTTTATTTCCTTGTTCATTGTGACAGTGTGAACACTGGAAAATAGTTTCTTTGGAAGATTTTATATCATACAATGTTGACTTTCCTATGTTGAACTCAGCCATTAGTTACAATAAACTTTCACCAGCGTCTAGTCTGTTTAAAATTTCCACTTTTTATGATAACTCCAAAGTTATTCTTTTCCTCTTGTTCCCATCATCTTTTGCACCAATACAAGCCATTAAGGTGAAATAAGCATAAACAGTTATCCAAAGTAAATTTCCTGAAAAACAGAAATTTCAAATCAGTTGCATATCACTTAAATAGTTCAAATATATACATCCCAATCATGTCTGGATATGAAGCACTCTACTGTATATCAGTAAACAACCCTTTGAGCTTCTTCTATGCGGCATGTATTCAAATATTAAACAAAAAGTAGCTGATTAACACCATTTTTGTTTTTTTTAGATATCTGTCATTGCAATGTAATTTTCTTCAAAAATAAAATATACTTTTCTGAAACTTTTTATGAGGAAAAGTAGCTTATTTAAAGTATAATTAATCTGATTTGAAACAAATATTATTTACTTTGAGTTGAAAATAACAGAGAAATGGGTTTCTAAAACAAACAGTAATGGTGATTTATGTGCTTTTCATTTCTCATCAGTCATTTAACAAGTGATCTGAAGGTGTTGACAGGTTTATATTGTTCTACGGATACTTTATCTGCTAAAACATAATTTAAGAAAATAATGGATGAATGTTTTTTTTATATAATTTTAAGTACTAAGTAATCTTAAAAATGTTGGAAATATTCTCTCTAATTTAATTTTAGGAATGTTGACTTTAAATTTAATAGTCATCAATCTTGTTTTCTGAAAATGTCATGTATAGTTACCCATACATTAAAAATGGGCATGTTTATGCATGCAAAAAATTTTTTTAATTATTTTAAAAATCTTAGTGTATGATGATTTGCATTAATCTTTTCAATTTTTGCTTAGGATATTAAGTGAAGACTATATTTACTAACTCAGTCAAAGTTTTGAAGAATTTTTAAAAGATTTTTGAAACTTTATAAATTATCATAATTAGAAAAAAAATGTAAGCAATTCTTCTAAAAATGCATTATTCATTGAAAAAAATTTTTCTTCAGACTATAATGTCCTTAATATTTATATAAGCAGTTAAAAGCTTATCCAATTAAGTAATGTCATATTTTTACTATTCAGAGCAAATTTTTGGAAAAGCAGTAACTATTTGAAAAAAAAATTGACAATTTACATTCTCTAAGGAGTTTAACTAATAAAACAAAGTTTGTGAACAGAATTTAATTTCTAGAAATTTTATGAAATTAAGTAAGGGGGTGGTAACAGATGTAAATAAAAATAATAATTTCAAAAATAAATTAATCTCTGAATAAGTCCTGAAAGTTTTATTAAAATACAACACTTGTTTAATTTCTGCAAGAATTTCCAAATTAATGTGTTATTTTACTGGGAAAAAAGGTGCTAAAATTTCCATAGTCAGCTCTGTTACACCATTGATGCATAAAAAACCAAGATTTTTAACTGAAATTTCAAACATGTTAGAAAGATATAAAAAAATTTTTAAATAATTAAAAAATACTTTGGTCTTTCCTCTTAATAACATAAACATTTTAACAATAAAACTTTGATTGTATTGTTTTGGGCTTTTTTCATCATGCTATGCTGTTTTTTTAGCAAAAAAGTAGAGGTGCCTATCATATAGTCATTGTGACCTTAATGTCTGTATCATATATGTGCTACACCTATGGTTTTGAATTCAGAGTTGTCCTTTTCCTAGACTGGTTTGCTACTTAAAGCTGAAGAGCCCCCAGTCTGACCTAATATTTAACCTGTAGCTAGGGATAGAAAAGCTGGATTCATTTATTTCCCAAGGGTATTTGGGCTTAAATAAAATGTAAGAAACTTGACTGATTTCTCATTCCAAGCCCCTATCCAACACACTATTCACTCACACATCTATTGAATGGATAAGGCACTAGCAATAATAGCACAATAGCTTGGAAGGGTTTCAAGACATATTAATTCTTTGACCTTAATAAGAATCCTTCTACATTCAAATTATTTCCAAATTGTTAATTCATATGAAAATATGCATGCAATAATGCCAACATTATTAATTGAATAAGATTTTATTCAATTAATAATGTTGGCATTATTGCCTCTCTTCGTGGGTTTTTTCTTTTTAGTTTATTTCAGTGCACTTTTATAAAATCATTAGTAAAACTAATGAGATTACTTTTAAAAAAAAAGTGTGTTTTTTGTTTGTTTGTTTTTTAAATTTTTGTGCTGAAAAAATAAAATGTCATTAAATGGTAATGTGTCTTTCTTGGAATTTCTTTGATTGTCTAAGGATTTTAAGAAATCCTTCTGTTATTAAATCATTGTAAAGTTAAAATTACTCATTGATGTTCCTCTCTTGTTGCTCTTTATGGTTGCTTTTGAAACAACGAAAAGAAAACTTAACGAGATGCAAATAGTTCTCTACAGTTCCTGAGCTAGGTCAAAGGTCACAGAGCTCACAGATTTAGATTACCACTGAAATCTTTTGCTTACTTTTTATAAACTTCCCATGACTTTTAAGTGCAATGGATTAATAGCTACATAGACAAATAATTAATGTCACTAAGCATTTACATCAGACTTTAGTTTATTGGTTTTGTGTCTGCAAAGAATTTTCTTTTTCTGTACTTTTGTAAACAATCATTATCATTCCACAAATTGTTCCAACTACTGAACTCCTTTGTGTTGATTTTGTTATTACCACTACACGTCAGTCTATTCTCTTTATTTATGAATTGTATATGCAAGAAAGGCTGTAGAATAGGTCAGCCAAAATGTCTGATGAGAACAAAAACAATGAGTCAATCATCTGGATAATTTTTTCCAGCTCTCATCATTAAATACAGTAATTACCCACCTTTTTATTGAGTTTTGCTTCCTTTTATTGAAATAGTTAATTATTATTTATCTGCAGGAATTGGTTCCTTTACGATTGTTGATGGAAACAAAGTTACTGGTGCAGACGTTGGAAACAAGTAAGTGTTCTTTGCCTTTAAGTGTACATTCTATAAATATCATGCTTGGCATCCATGTTACATTACCACATTCACTGAATTGAACTCCTGTGTCAAATACTGCTGTCACTTTTCATTGTATTCAAACTATGTCAAGTCTTCAGAAGGCAACTTTCCAGGGTAGAGCTATGAACACGAAAAAGGAACATGAACAAAAAACCCACAAAGTCAACACAATATATGACACATTTGGTGGAAAAGAGGGTATACAACAAAAAATTGTTTTTTTCACTGGAAAGTATTATATCATATCCAAGTATTTTACAAAAGAATTAGAGCTGATTACACAATATTTCAGGCTGAATTTAGGTTTATAGTTCATAACCATGCAATGAGATGAGAGAACATAAACCATAGATTTGTCTGTGGAATAGAATTACATTATTGTTACATAATTATAGTAAAACTATTAATCTTTTAAAGTATTTTATTTTTGATCGTATATTAATTTACAATATTCCTTTTTACAGTCTTTGTTTTTGAAATGGAATAAAGATCATTCTAAATTTCAGAATTTCGCTATTGCCCATCAAAACAACTTGAAGAAAGCGATCTAAAAACAACAATGGAAAAGAGAGATAATGAAGCGTAAACGAAATAGCTCCAGTTTGTACAAGTTAAGAAACTTAGCATTGCACCCAAGTATTCTAAAATGCTGCCAATAACAAATGAGAAAATGAAAAATGCCTAACAAGAAATTGAATATAGCATCAAAATTTAAATTATCTTTTTTATTTGTTATGTAACTAAATACATAATTGCCAACAATGTTCCATAAAATTTGATATTTCCTGTAATAATTTCTTAATAAATATTATTATTGTTATTATTTTACTTAAGTGTAAGGAAATCCTACATTTACAATTCTTTACAGCTAACCATGAAAAGAAATGTCGATCAAAACTGACTAAAACTTTTAAGCGCATTTTGCTACAAAATTATCATATGTTGAATATGCCCCTCTGCTTCTGAACACATTATATAGGGAAATGTAAACTGTCTATTTTTGAAACATGACAACAAAAACTGATATATATATATATATATATAAAGAGGAATAATTATTCAGTTCTCCCATATGCACATGTGTTTTTGTAGCTACTAAGACATTGCCGTCCAGATTTGTGGCTAGTAGGACATTGCTGTTCAAATTTGTGGTGGCTGTCATAAGAAGACAATTTCCCCTTCTCACAAAATCCAGCCACATAGGCAGGAAATTAAATGAATTCTTTGACTGCTCTCTTAATTTTCACTGTTGATCATTTCTGTAACCATTGATTTATAATTACTTTCTTTCATTTTCACAGTTTCTTCCTTACCAAAGACTCAATTGGGATGGTGAGTTGAAATTTGAATTTCTTTTGGTTTTTTTTTTTTTATTTCTTAATAATCAATTCTCTCTCTATACATATACTAACATACATACACACACACACACACACACACACACATATATATATATATATATATATATATATATATATATAATATAAAAAAACAGACAGGTTAATGAAATTTGAGGAATAAAAAAAGACAACAAAATTGTCAATAAGATTGAGGATATTTATTATATATTAGTCGAGCTTTTGACTAAACCAAAGAGAAAGACCTACTAATATATTGTGCAAACCTACTTACACACAAACATATACATGTAAACACAAAATCACATGTACAATGCCAAATGATCATTGGCTAATAAATCACTAATACATTTTCTACAGGCAATTTACAAATCACAGTAATGCAACAGTTTTGGAATCCCTTTATTTTTTTAAGTAGTCAAATTTGTGCACTTTTGGGAGAAGTGGCTCACAGAAGCTTCCTTAAATCTCCCCAAAGCTTAATCACTGATTGATTGATGCCAACCAATCGGATTGTTTGCACATGAAGAATGATTTTTCCCACACAACGAATTGGAGCCTATAGTCTCTTATTTAAGCCAAGATTTTTTATCATCTGAATTAGTGAGACCTCAACTACTAAACAAATCAACAACAGTTGGAAATCCAGTTCTAACCACGCGCCAACCTTCTAACTCACACATATACCCACATGCTGATGATAATTTGTACACTTTCACTAAAAACTTCTTTTGACACAACAATACTTTTCAACAGTAATATCACAAGAACAATCATCATGAAACACTCATGGAACTAGTGAACTTTAAACCAAATAATTATCTCTCGCTGAACTCTAAAATTGTAGTCAAAGAGAGGCAACTCTTGATTAAATCAACCTTTCTTACTTAAATGCAGGTTTTCTTTCACATTGTTGTTTGATATTGTACATCCTGTTAATATACATATATTTTATGTGCAACAATGTTTTGTGGTTATTCTTCTTTCATGAGTCCTGTTTTCCTATCAAAGTTAAATTAATGTGGTGAAGTCCCCCACAATATAAAAAATATCATCAGTCTTATTGCCAATATTGTTATCATTTTATTCCTCAAACTTCATTAGACAACCTTTTAAATCCACATATTATAAGAAATACATCTTTACTTTTAATCATTTATATATACAGGGTATGATGAATAAATTGTTGTTTAAATTATGCAAAAATGAAAATAACACTGACATCTCATTTTAACAGATATGTTTACCAAAATTACATAAAAATATCTTGAAATACTAAAGAGTAAATTTATTCAATAAAAACATCATGGCTTCTACCACAGCCTCCAAATGACTTCAGAATCTCCTGCAACTCTTTTGGATGGTCTCCTTGTTTAAGTTGGTGAATGCTGCCAAAATCTTTGCCTTCAATTCATTTTTGGTGTTACAAAGAGTTTTGTTGGTCTCTCACACAACTGCGCCCCACACATAATGATACATGAAGTTGCAGTCTGGGGAGTTGGGTGACCAGATGTAAGGGGTGATATGGTTGCAGAAATTGTCTGACAGCGATGACTGGGTTCTCCTGCTTGTGTAGTATAGTGCAGAGTCTTGTTACCAGACATAGTGTCTTCCAGCAGACACTCTCTTGACCCAGGGCAGAACTACCTCCTCAATACACTTAATGTAGACCTCAGTGTTGAGTCTGAGGCTCTCACCAGCAAATTCAGAAGTTCTTATCAGAGTGAGTTTTCTGAGCCTCTGTACCTTCATTTTTGAATTGTCCATATGCTTTAATTATTTTTAACTATTGTTCTCATCTTGGTTGTCATAGACATTATTATTGTAGACACAACGTTTCAACCAAATACCCTCTGGCCATCATCAGGTGCCCATTTTTTGACTGCTATCTGTTGATTAATGTATTATTTTGGACATGTGTTACTGTCATCTGGTGGTCTTGAATTTAATCCCAAGTAGTGCAACACTGGATCAGCAGGAATGAACAATAACTAGTATCACAGGGACAAAATGACAATAATCAGCAGATGCCCCACATCAGTTAAACAATGGAAACCTGATGATGGCCAGAGAGTACTTGGCTGAATTGCTGCCTCTATAATAACCTCTGTAATAATCAAAATGAGGACAATTCGTCATAATTAAAGTATATTAATATTATTTAATTTTTCTATTGCATGTAGACTAAAAGTATAAAATCTTCATTTTTTTTTTTTTTTTTTTTTTTGTGAAATATTAAATCTTTCCAATGCTAATGAATATTGAATAAACCAATTCTATATCTCACTCTTGCTTTCTACAGGGCTGTTATTTTTTAACTTTGATATTGAAGCATCTCATTATATTTAGTTTCCAAAACAATAGCAATCAATCAAATAAATTGCATTATTTCAATCGCAACAACTAGGATTAAATTTCTTTATTGATTTTTTTTTAATGTAAAAATTGTGCTTTTCTTCCTCATTTTCATTTGTCAGTGTAAATATAAGGTCTGTCCAGATAGTATCCAGCCATTTAATATTAAAAAACATAGGCTAGCTAGGGCAAAGGCACCTTAGTTTACTTCAAAATTCTCCTCTTTTATTCACAATAATCTCATCTATGGCATTTCAATGGCAATTTAAATTTGGCAAGAGCTACAAGTTGCAAGGAGACAAGTTTAGATTGTACGGGTCTTGACAGATCTGCACATGATGTGAAGAATCCACTCGGTTGTAGTGAATGTGACATTTACACAATACAGAACCTCAATCAGTGGCATCACACTTCTGAGTAACACAAGACACCCACAACCGGTTTGCAAGATATTCAAAATGGCTGGGTACCTTCTAGTCAGAAATTGTAAAATACATTTTATGGCATATTCTGTGAAGTATTTTTCAAAGTGTAGGACATATTGACTAACATGAGAAAATGATTGATTGATTGACTAGGATTAATCTGTTTATATTTTTAAAACAAAATGTCACAATCAACAAATTATTAATCTTTGAGGTTATTTCCAAGGATTAAAATATTTGAAACTTTTTTTCAATTCTTATCTATTCCAGAATTTCTCATATTTTACTCAATTTGTTCCACTATTTATTTTTTTTTTCCCCCATTCAGTCTCGGGCACAAATCACAACTGATCTCTTAATGGAACTGAATGAGGAAGTTAGTGGAGATTTTGTGGAAGAGGTAAGTCAGTTTGTCATATTTTTCATATGAGATTAATGCAAAAAAATTTTTTTTTTCTTAGTATTTTGTTAGTTTCTTCCAAAATAAGCATCAATGTCTAAAATATTATTTGAGTTCATCTAAAAGCACAAAATTCCCTAGAAAATAGATATGAACCAACAAATAGTTACTGTATAAGCCAAACAAAAAAATGTTCAATTTGCAACAAGAACTAAGAGTATTCTGCACAATGACTGGACAAAGTTGAAAGACAACTGTTTGTGCATAACCTTTAGAACCATTTAATGCAAGTTTTTGAATCCTGGCAAAACAATCCAAGCAAAGAAGTATTGTTAGAAAATCAACTAAATGCAATATGAATTGCAGTATTTGCCTCCAACTGTGGTCAATTGAAAAGGACCAATTATTCTCTGTAACAACATTTAACCACTTGTAAATGAATGTAAAAAATGAATAAACTAGGCTTTGAATCTCTACCTCACCTATGTTACACACCAGACATTAGTATGACTATCTACTGCTTTTTCAATCATCCTAACAATGTTCTGCAAGAGATGGTCTTGAATGACCAAAAAGCAGAAGCTGTCACAGAATTAATTGGTTTCAGGACTGGAAGATTCTACACAACTGGAATAAATAGGCTTTTTTTCTTAGAAACAATCATTCTCATTTTGATTAATAAACTTTAGATATTTGAGATATAATTTTTAAGTGTTGTTTTTTTTTTTTTTTTTTTTTTTTATACCAACCTAAAATTTATTGAAGTTATTATTGCTTCATCTTTCACACCCACACATGCTAACTGAAATGTGATAGTTTTCAAAAACTATCCACTTAATAAAATTTAGTGTAAGAAATTCTTTAAAATGTATATTTAAATAATGAATATTCATTGTAATTTTGTTTTTAATGTAATGGCCACAATAATTTTTTTCTTATTGTCAATAAAAGAAAGTGCGGTAGAATAGAAGTAAATATTTTTGCATTTTCATTTTTACTTCCATTGAATTATTCATCTCAAAGTTTACATGGAGTTTATTAAAGAAAATATCTACCCTCTCTTGGCCACCAATCCATTTTTGTAAATTAACTTATCAAACGTTTTGATAGATTATTCTTTTTACTCTGTTGAATTAAGGAACATTACGTTTGAGTTAGGTATCACCTGATTTCAAACTGAAATTGAAAATAACAAGTGCTGTAAGCAAAGAAACCAAGAAAACAACAACAACAGCCGGTTCTTAGAATGTTTTTTTCTTTCTTATACCTTAATTTCAGTCTTAGTTTTTGGTGAGGGTCAAGTATCTGCTTCATAAAAGACAAAACAAATCGTCTTTATAATTTGCAGGTTTATCGATTGTCAATACATTTGAAAAGTGTCAAAAATATTCCAAATTTTTTTTTTCTCTCTTTTTTCTCATGTCTTTGATATTTTCAACACAATAATTTTTCTCTTTCAAACTTTAGAAGGCATCGGCATAAAAGATAGAAAGAGAAAAAGAGATTCACTTCTTGTAAAAAAATTTGGAATATTTATAATTTTTTTTTTTCCTTTTATTCTGTCATGCACTCATTTAAACAACACTTTTTAAGAAGAAGGATGAAAATTTTATTTGGTTTTTGTTTATATGAATATTTCCATTGTTGTTAAATTTCTTTTTTGTAGCTTCCAGAAAAACTTTTGGAAAACAACCAAGAATTCTTCAATCGTTTCAATTTAATCATTGCTACCAATCTTCAAGAAAAGTGAGTCAAATTATTTAATCCATTATAAAACATAACCAGTGTGTGATTTAAAAGGCTTCCGATTGCTGGCTCAAAATATGGATTACATACATTGCATTTTGGCACAATATGAGTAAATTAGTAAAAAAACGAAAAAGTTTTTTGACATAATTTTTTCAAGTTAGAGGGAACATGACTAAGTGTATTTTTTTAATACAAATACTCACATACATGAGGGGATAGGGTTATAAATGCATAACACAACACACTTCCCAAAATCTGACTAAATGACCAAAGAATTTTTAAAGGGTTTTTGGGTCAGGCAAATAACTTTTCAACAACCATATATATATATATATATATATATATATACAGACACACACCCAGTGCGATGGGTAAATTTTTGCCATTTTTATATTTTTAATTTTGCACATGCACATTGTTTGTTTTTGATTTTGTTGATTAACCATTATAGTAGGGTCAGTTGGGCAACATCTGTGAGAAAAAGAGCACTAAGACGCAATTCACTCTGCCAGAAATTTGGAAACACCATGCTGTATTGCTTGGCATTTTCACCAGAAGCTCCAATACAAACATTTCAGAATGTTTGGACTTCAATCTGAGGAGGACAGTGCAGGGGATTCAGAAAAAGTTGGATGAGTCTAATGGTGATTACAATGGTGTTTAAAGTGATCACTAGTGATGGCAATGTTATGCCTCGATTCATCTTTCCACAGGGTCTCAGACTTAACATGTAGGCCTATGTCAAGTGCCTTGAGCAGGTAGTGCTACCCTGGGTCAAGAGGGTGGCTGCTGGAAGACCATATGTCTGGCAGCAGAACCCTGTACCATGCCACAAAAGCAGCAGAACCCAGTCATGACTGTCAAACAATTTCTGTGACCACATCACCCCCCCCCTTTTTACATCTGGGCACCTAACTCCCCAAGCCCCTTCATTATTATGTGTGGGCTGCAGTTGAGCAAGAGACCAACAAAACTCCTTGTAACACCAAAGATTAAGGCAGGGATTATTCAGCATTCACCAACTTAAACAAGGAGGCTTTGGTTGAAGCCAATGATGATTTTATTGAATAAATTTACTCTATAGTATTTCAAGATATTTTTTGTAATTTTGTTAAATATATCTATTAAAATGAGATGTCAGTGTTCTTTTCATTTTTGCATAATTTAAACAACAATTTATCCATCACACCCTCTGTGTGTGTATATATATATATATATATATATATACACACACACACACATCAATAAGTTCATAGACTAATAAAAAAAAAATAAGCAAGTATTTTATATAATGTAACGTGGTATTAACCAATCACCAGCACCTCATTGATAATACTCTTTGTGCTAACACTTTTAAAACAACTGTTTCAAATCTGGTACAATCATCATTTCACTTAAAGATTCTTGGATTTCTCTTTATTTCTAGATGATACCATCTCTTTCTAAACAAAGAGTTTTTCTGTACACTAAAACTACTGTTTTTTTTTTCATTTGTTCTTTTAATGATGTAAGAGATAAGGATTATTTTTAGAATGTTTTTTTTTTTTTTTTTTTTGGTTTTTTTGCAGGTATTGTTTCATATTTTAAATTTATCAGAGTCCTCCTTGATAAAAGTTCATCAAAGTTCTGGCTAATTGAGTGGAATTATAACACCTTTTTTTCTTTATCGTTTTATAATTTTCAACATATCCGTGCTTCTTCACATTATATTTAAGTTTTCTACAACCAAAAAATTGTTTAACAATATTAATTAATAATTAAATAGATGGATACAAAATTTATTCTTTTGTAGATCTTAGCAACTTCAACATACAATTTTTTTATCTTTTCTTATATCAAGATTTTTCAGTCTCTCTAACATATTTGAATTACCAGCATCAATATTCTTGTGGTTGAGGACCATTATCTGGAAACTTATTTTGTCACCGCTTTCAGAGTAATGTTTGATTAATGAAGTATAAAATGAACTGACCAAAAAAATGTCAGATAAAGGGAGATAATTCCAAATCTATTAACTTCTTGTTTCTGTTTGAATTTCTGGAATGAGGAGTTATCATTATTTACATTTGGACTAATTATTGTATTTACAGTTGGACTAACTATTGTAGTCACTACAATGATTGCAATTAGACTCATCATTGTAGTTACTACCCCAACAATTTGGACCTGTATCCTAAGCTGCCTTCAGGTGCCTGTCAATTCAGGTAACAAAGTTGTTTCTCTTTTTCTTAATAAGAAAATAATAGGAATAAGTAAAGAAGGATGCTTTAACTTAGTAATAATTATCTTTTGTAAAAGTTTGTTTTTTTATTAAATTTTGTTGACCACACATTGCGTGGAAACTTTCTTATTAGCTCTCAACTCGGTATCTATGCTGATGACACAACCATTTACTCCTGTATTGATAATCTGATCAGATTGATAAGGTCAAATTGGCAGCGGATCTAAAAAAAGATGTACAATTTGTTGTTAACTGGAGCAAAGGATCACTTCTTAATTTTAAAACCTGCAAAACAAAATTGTTCTCTATTAAGCATCACAGACACATTTTCTGCCTTTCTATAAGCATGGCTGATGCTCTCCTCTATGAGAGTGACATTGCATCTTCTCAGGCTAACATTCTTAGCTGACATGAAGTGGAAAGACTATATTCAATCCATCTGCTACCAAGAAAGTTTGTTTACTGTATCGTGCTAGACAACTTTTCTCTCCTGAACATAACTTGCATAAGTCTACCATCCATTCATGTCTCAAATATTGCTGCCACATATGGTCTAATGCTCCTGCTCTATATTTAGAGATTCTTGATAAAATCCAAAGAATCAGCAATATTATTGGTCCTGACCTGGTGTCTCAGCTTCAATCACTTTTCCACTGTTGTAAAGTTGCTTCCCTGTGCCTTTTCTTTCATGATAATTGTTTGAATGAGCTCTTTGCTATGGTACCTAGACTTAATTTAAGTGCAGTATTAGATTATTAACAAGGTACCATTGATTTACAATTGAATTGGCAGCTAGATGTAACCATAAGTACTATGTTAACAGTTTCTTTTCTTACACTTCTCACTTATGGAACTCTCTTCTGGCATCTTGCTTTCCAGACACATTTGATCTTCAAAAATTTAAATGCAATGTCAATTGTCATCTACTGTTTTCCTGATTACTCTTCTATTGTTCTCACCCCTCAATAATGGCTCTGATTTCTAATTCTCTCACACTCAGTAACACCCTTATGTCTTAGTGGTTTTACTGCCTAAATTGGGGGAATTCAATTAAAAAAAAAATTCTGTGAATTGAGTTTACTACTATTAATGCAATATTGTTAAATCATTACTGTTATACATTGATTTATTTGAACCAGATTCTCTTTCTTTATTATAGCATTTTGGTTGCTGTACAAAATAACATGTTTTGAAAGTTACAGTGTACAGCAGCCAAAACAGTAGGATGAAGACAAGAAAAATGGTCCCAAAATTTCTCCATGTTCCACTCAGACATTTTTTCCCAAGAACTGCCATTTTTTTGAAACAAACTCTTATGTGGGTGCTTCCCTTAACACTTCAGTATTGACCTCTTCACTTCAAGGATTAATCATCATCTTTCCACCATATCTCACTTCATACCCGCTTCTCTTCCAAACACCTCATTCGTTATTACCATTTTGACTGTAACCCTCTACCTTGATTGACCCTTGTGCCTTGTATTGGGTGAAGCTTAGAATTTTTTAAAATGAACCCTGTATATAAAAATATATTATTATTTTTTTTTCAATTTTTGGTGCATCTCTTTTGTGTTTTAGACCTTTGCTTCAGTTGGCCAGTTTGCTGGAAGCTTCAGAGATTCCTCTTCTAATCTGTAGATCTTATGGTTTTATTGGTTATGCACGGCTTGTTGTTTCTGATCACACGGGTGAGTCAATCAGGTTTCTTTTCTTCATTGAAATCCAAAATTTATACAAGTATTCATTCTAATTAAAGAAACATATTTTCCACATCTGTTTGTCGACACTAATGTGTGTTCATCCTGTCATAAATTAACTGAAGTATTTTTTGCTTAGAAAACAAACAACAAATGACAGATGTTCCTACAGAAATGCACCTAGTTCATTTTTGGCTAGGCTCTTTTTATCTTATTGCTATGTTCTATCAATATTTTCTATCTTAAATATTCTCACACCATTTAAGTAGCTTCTAACAAGAAAACTTTAACTGGTATCCCATATCCTGGGCACCCATCTTTCATGGATGATACCTTAACACAGCATTTCTCAACCAGTTCACTCAAGCAGTACACTAATGTGCCCTAAAAGGTGGACCCCAAGTTAACAAAAGAGTAATTTATGAATTATTTTTATATTTAAAAAGCTACAGACACCAAGCACATTTAATATGTTAAAAATAAATTCTTATTTCTGGAGACTTCTTTATTATTTTCTTATTTTATGACTATTTTAAAAATGCTTCAGTTCATATCTACTAAAAGTATTTATCCTATTTTTTATGAATTATTATCAGCTTTAGTAAAAAACATGTATGAGACAATTTGGAAGACTTTTACTTTGACATGTTTTGCCAATGAATCAGTATTATCAGAATTTTTCTAATGACGCCAGTTGATTGCCAAAATATATCAAATTAAAAGTTTTCCAAATTGTCTTGCATATTTGTTATTCTGGTAGATTCTCATTCAGCTTTTCTCACATTTTCCAAAGATAAAGAGCTAACTCTATAATAAAAACATTATTATGTTTTCTTTAATAAAAGTTTCATCGAAAGCTACTTGCTTATTTCTGATTCCACACTATTGAATTATCAAAGTTATTGGGATAAAAAAAGCATGAATAAGATAAAATAAAACTCATAATAAAATAATTGTAATAAAAGTAATTCAATTAATGCCATGACAAAAAAAAAAAAACAACTATGTTTGTCATCATAATTTAGTATGATACTTGTATTGTATATGTTATCTAAAGTACTGAACTGGGTATTTAAGTACATTAGAATGTGGCATGCAAATCAATGTGAACTCCATAGGTGAAATATTGTATATAATTAATTTCTAAATTATTCTTGCTTTCTTTTCTAGCATAGTGATCAAAACAACAAAGATGAGGATGCTTGTCCAAATAATTCATTGAATAACATTTTCAAAGCAGATAATAATAATATTCTCTGTGTGAAAGATTTTGTAATTTTTATTAAAAAAACACACACACGGACACATACGATTTGGTTATGGTGAGGACCTGTTTCTAAATATACAGTATGTCATTACAAATTATAAAGTGCTCTACTTTAAATTCATTTTCCTAAATGCTTTTTTCAAAAAAAATAAAATAAAATAAAGGATAATTCTGTGTAATTTGTTGTGATTTTTTCCTTCTCTTACAGTAATAGAATCTCATCCAGACAATTCACATCAAGATCTTCGACTTGACCGCCCATTCCCTGGTTTAGTGGAATTTTGTGATTCTCAGAATCTGGAAAATATGAGTAAAAAAGTAAGTATTTTTTTTTTTTACTCCCTCAGTGATTTATACATTTTTGATCTATTCCAAATCAGGATGCAATATCTGCTATGAATCTATATTCTTTATTCACCTCAGAAATGTTAATACTGACAATGATCAAAGGGTTAAATACAATAAACTTTATTCAAAAGGATTTTTCTAGTAAATCTGTAATCATCATTCAGTCTCTACTGTTGAAGCTGTAACTCTTTATGGTTAAGCTATTGTATCAATATCTAAATACTTTATTTTGCAGGAACACAGTCACACACCTTGGTTGGTTATTATTTATAAATATCTACAGAAGTGGAAAGAAGAGGTAAATTATTCATCCACTGTTTATATTGTTTTCTTTACATGTTTTAATTAAAGTTTGAAAATTTATACAATGCAACATTGATTGATATTAATAATATGGTTCTATTAAACCAAACATTCAATTTTAAAACCAGTAGGAAATGGTCACCAAAAGAATTATTTTGGCATACATTATATAGATTCCATACAACTTTATTATTAGTCATCAGTCATTACCTGAATTTTGATCTTCAAATTTTCACTGTTTAATTTCTGTAATATATGAAGAAGTGCTGGATTGATTGATTCATTCATTATAGCTTATCAACCCTTTTCAGGTTATTTTAAAGCCAGGAAATATTTTTAGATTGTAAGATTTTTTTTCTTTTTGGAGATAATGATTTAGTAATAGAATTCTTACTAATTAACCCATAGCTGGAGGGAGAAGAGGTGGGTTCATCCCTTTCCCAATGGGTATTTGTACATAAGTGAATATAATGAACCCAACTGAAATTGAAACTCGGCTTTTTGATTAACAATCCAAGCCATTATCCATTATACCACCTGTACATCCAAGCTTACAGCAGCTGGTATTCCCAAGCAGTTACTGATTTAGGTACTGACCAACCTCAATGTTGCTTAACTTCAGTGATTGTAGAGGAACCTGTGTTTTCAATTTGATATGACTGTAAGCAAGAAGTGTTGGAGTAAATACATTAACAAAGAAGGACATTATGTTGGAAAGTAAATATTTTCTGTATAAAATCTTTTTTTTCTTTGTCGTCATTAAGATATGAACAGTTTGATAAATCTACATACATTACACTATTGAATAGACACTTATTTAAAAAAAAAATGTACCTTAATTCAGTTTAAAATTATTAATGAAATCTCAATGGACTTGTTGCTAACAGATTTTAAATATTTTTCTTAATTCAGTCTCATCAAAATTATTAGATCTCCTTACCTTGTGGTATATCCAAGCAGGTTGCATTTTAAAACACCAAATAAATTTTTTCTATAAAAAGATATTTTTTTTCTTCAGTATCTGTCTATATTTCTGAGATGAGGTATTATGTACATTATTTACATTATTCGGACTATTGTCCCCATATTTATTACAACGTTTCGGCCGTTGTACGCTCCGGCCCTCCTCAGGTGGTTGGAATGTCGAACTAAACCCTCCACTTTGCCCACTGGGGCAGACCACTCCAGTTTAATTTGCCATGTTTAATGGATGTCAGTTATCAGTTATCGCCTGTTAATTTCCTTCTGAAAGCTCTCCACTGCCTTAACCGGGTATTGAACTCACACTCTTCTGGTCCTGTCACTGGATCTAACTAATGCCTTTATCCACTGTATCATGTGTCCTTGAGTGTGAGTTCAATACCCAGTTAAGGTAGTGGAGAACTTTCAGAGGGAAATTAACAGGAGATAACTGACATCCATTAAACATGGCACATGGAACTGGAGCAGTCTGCCCCGGTGGGCAAATAGAGGGTTCAGTTCGACATTCCAACCACCCGAGGAGGGCCACAGCATATAACAGCTGAAATGTTGTAATAAATATGGTGACAAAAATGAGGACAATAGTCCAAATAATGTAAATAATGTATTTTTTTCTTATTTCATGCTCCAAAATGACGTCTATTCAAAAGAATTTTGATTTCGTCACAAGAGTTTTTTTAATGCATTTGGATTTGTCATTCTCAAGTCTATTTTTGTGACATGCCATAAAAATCCACCATGCTTGCAAAGAATATTGTTTTTGTCTAAATAACTGAAGAATAGATATAGATATATAACTTTCTGATATTCCATACCATTACTAAAGATGTATTTTTATTATTTCTTGAGTGTGTATGGAATATCAGGAAGTTACATATCTATTTTGCAATAAGCTAAAATATTAATTATCATTAAAGTAATGTCACTATGGCTCTCAGAAAAGAGTGTAGATAAATCAAGGGTTTTTTTTTTTTCATGCTCGTCTCTATTACTTTCTTATTAACAAAAATATAACTAACTCTTTAATTAGCAGTTAATAGACATGAAGTAATGTGCCTTGGGCAGATTTTTTAAAATGTTTTGTCAATAATTGGGCTGGAAATTGCTTTATTATTCAAATTAACACCTTTTAACTGACAAAGTTTTTGCCATTTTTCTAATAAATATACAAAAATCATAACAATATCTAGATATTTTTTGTTTAACAAAGAATTAAGATTTGTGACAGTGAAAAGTAAAAACAAAAAAGAACTTGTTTATGAGAAACTTTCTTCATTTGTAACCAAAAAAACAATTCTTTTTCTCAGAATGGTGGGGAAATGCCAAAGACATACAAAGAGAAAACCTTGCTCAAGGAGATGATAAAAAATGGTGAGTTAGTATTATTATCATACATAAACTAGAAAATGTCTTAAACCTTACTTAGTGAAAATAATGTTATTTAAGCAAATGCAAATTAAGTATAAAGTGCTGCCCTCTGTGACATTTCTTTTTTCTATATAAAGGCGCTGAATTCATGTTGTTCACACACACACACCAGTTTACTTTATTGCTCTCAATATGAATACAACTGCTGCTAATAAAAAAGTTCTAAAGCATATGCTGAGTCCTCAAGAATATGGGCGAAGGACCTTTCCCCTGCCAGAATAGACCCATCGGTATCATCAGTAAGTTTTTTGAGGCTATAATCAAGCACTCTCCAGTTGTGGAATCACTGGAAGAGTCTTCTTAATTATAAAGTCCTTTCTAACAGGTAGTTATTAACAGCCAGTCCTCCATAGCCCTGGCAGTCAACACAGGTGTCCCCCCACCCAGGGGTTACTTCTTGGACCGACACTCTTCTTGATTTACATAAATTATCTGCCCAAGAATATACTCAGATCATTTGCAAATATCTATGCTGATGATACAATGATATACAGGTGCACCTTTTAAAATTCTTGATGATCCACAATTGGCAGCTGATTTCTTATCTGATCTAGCACTAACAGATCAGTGTGAGTTGGGAACTGGCTGGTTACATTCAATGCCTTGAAAACCAAACTAGTTACATTTCATCATCACTGATTGAATCCCCAACTACCACCAGTCATGATAAACAGATGTCCCCTCGAGAAGTCATCAAGCCTTGAGAGAATATTGGGCCTTAAACTCACACCTGACCTCAAGTGAAACTCCTGCATACGATTCATCGCTAAAGGTGCAGGAAAAACAATCGGTTCTCTGTAGTACCACTCCAGAAATTACTTCACTCCTTATAGGATTCTCTATATTTACAAGAGCTAGATTGAGTATCAGCTACATATTCTTCACTTTCCAGTCTCAATAGAGTTCAAATGCATCTCCAGATCCTTGTGAGTGACAAGTTATTTTCCACCCTCCAAACTGTTTTCACACAGGCAAGATGTGGCAAGCCTCTTACGGCTCTATTGCTACTTCCATGCAAAGTCCTCAGATGAACTACATTCCTTGATTCCACCATTTCTAGCCTTCACAGCTAGGGCCCAACATACCACTTACATTGTCGCAAACCATCCACACATTCCATATATATTCCATTGGTAAGAAATAAGTTCCACTCAAACACCTTCTTCCTGCAAACCACTGCTCTGTGAAACTGATTCTCAAAGAGGATGTTTCCCCGATCACTACAATCCTAACCTATTCAAGTCTAGGGTTGACCATTATCTTCCTCTCCTATCCGTATAAACTGCCTCTTTTCAGTAACCCTCTATTTTGAATGGCCCCTGGGTCTTGTACAGGGTTAACTTTACTGTACAAAACATACTTTAGGTAAAAAAAAATGTTTCAAATCATTTCACCCCAAACTCGGTGATAATGCTACTAAGACGCACGGGGTTACAGGTAGAGAAAGAGAAGACTTTAATGAGGAGAGGACAATAAAGGAACAGAGTTTAGAAAGACAAGATGGCAATTGACACTGCATTTAAATTTTTGAAGATTGTAGATGGCAGAAAAGCAAGAAATTGGAAGAGAGTTTCATGGGTGGAAGTGCGAGAAAAGAAACTGTTAGAATAGAAGAGACAGTTGCATTTAGCTTGTTCAACATTTGGATGGTGAGACCTAGTTGCCAATCTAGTAGCACACTTGAATTCATGCAGTCAAGGCACTAAAGAAAAAAACCTCCTCAGAACAGTTACCATGAAAATATTTGTAGAAAAGACAGAGAGGGAAGTCACATCATATTGGTGAGAAAGTGACTGAATTTGAGATGCCAGATCTGGATTGATTACAAGCCCTTTTTTGAATTTTGTCAAGAATTTTGAGACATACAACAGGAGAACCAGACCAGATATGGCAGCAGTATTCAATGCCTGGACAAATGGTAGATTTATAAATGTGCATGATGGATTCTGACAATAAAAATTTTCTAAAGATAATTTCAAGTAACTAAATTTCATGTTTTTGATAATGTAAGGCTTTTTAAAAGAATGAATTTATAACAATAAATGTATATTGTTCCAGTTTTTTATATCTTTTACTGAATGTTATCATCTGGTTATTGTTTTCTAAAAGAAATCTATTTAAAAGTGATTACAAAAAGTTACTTGCTTGTATAATAGTTTTGAATCTTGCCACTGAATTTTCCTTAATATTTTTTACCATTATTTTCTCTGATATTAAAAAGGTTTTGAATGGCTGTTAAAAATAATTAAAAAAAAAAAAACTCTTGCAATAAGCAGATATGGTTTGTTTCTTAGGGTTTTTTTTTTTTCATCTATATATGTACATTTTCTGGGACTTAATTTTTGTGACCATGTTTTATTACTTGCATTATTTACATTATTCAAACTGTTATCCTCATCTTCATTGCCATATTCACAGCGTTTCAGCCGTTGTATGCTCCAGCCTTCTTCAGGTGACTGGAATTTCAAACCAAGCCCTTTATTTCGTCCATGGGATAGATTATTCTATTTCCATGTGTCATGCCACTTTCTGTGTCTCAGAATTTCCCTTTTGTCTCAGTTATTTCCCTTTAACTCAACTCTCTGAGTTATGAATATGGCAGTGAAGATGAGGATAACAGTCTGAATAATGTAAATAATGCATGTAATCATAATACCTCATCTCAGAGATATAGACAGACATGTTTTATTACTATTATACATTGACTCTTTTGGGGCAGTTTCCTTATCTTTGTTGTTTTATTACATTTTCACAATAGTATTCTCCAACCATTCTCACTTGTCTGAAGTAACTTCTCTTTATTTGATATGCACAGTCAAGTGGATAAGTGTTGGTGCAGGTTGTGAATTTAATCCCTGGATCAAGTAGTAGAGAAGTATATACAGATTTGGTGGGGAGCCAGATCATCAGAAAGAAGAAGTGAGGGTTATAAGTTGTAAAATTTGCTAGAAAGGACATTGGATAAGACAGAAGAATAAAAATGGCAAATAAGAGTTCTATTTGACATTCCCATGAAAGCTTAAGAATTGGACAAACACTTGATAAAGGTTGTATAATATGGGAGCCAAAATGCTGTGATAAAAAACAAGGAAACTGCTCCAAGTAAATCGATGAAAAATAGGGAATATGTCCACTTGCATTCCATTTACTTAAAAGACTTTAAATTGTTACATTTCTCTCCCATTAAAATAGATATTTTCTTGCTTTACAAACTGAATGATTTTTTTTATTTGACTGAAATTTTAGGAATGTTGAAGAATGAAAATGGTATTACAGAAGAAGAAGAAAATTTTGAAGAAGCCATCCGAAATGTCAACACAGCCTTAGTCAAAACTTCAGTACGTACAATTTGGTTTCTTTTACTTTCCAGAGAAATTTTCAAGAATCATTTACTTTATTTTTTATTAAATGAAGTAAGCATCTGTTTATCTTGCGAGATAAAGGTAGTACCCTGTTTGATCGAAATTCAGTCCTTTTAGTAGTAAGACAAGTGACCTCTCCAGAATGCAGCCCTGAGCGATGGTGTATGGAGTTCTTGTACTGCCCAGACCACATGCCCCCCCCCCACTCCGCCTCTCAACTGTACTGACAAGATCTAGAGGACATGACATTTGGGATCAGCTTAGCAGCAGAAGTTGCCAGAAAGTTGTCAGTGTTGACCTTCAGAGCTCCACTCCACCCTGCAGCGAAGATTTAAAATCAAGGTTTTCTTTTCCCTAGATGAACTGCCTTCCTGGGAAGTCTGTTGAGCTCTATCTACTTGAAGCAGCTGTTGAGATGCCAGATACGCCAGATATTTACTATTGTGGCAGACTTCACCACATTAATTTTAACTTTAGATTAGGAAACAAAACTGACATGAAAAAGGATAAGCAAAAGATATCATTACATATAAAATATGTATCTAACAAGATGTACAATATCAAATAATGATATGAAAGAAAGCATGCATTTAAGTAAGAAAAGGTTGAATAAAACGAGTTGTCTCTTTTTAACTATTATTTTTGCATTTCAAAGTTCACTGGAAGAAAGTTTATGAGAGTTTCTTGTAATAATTGTTCTCAGATTTGCTGTGTAAGGAAAGATTATGTGAGTGTATAAGAAATGTTCAGCATGTGACTGGTGGTGTGAATGAGAAGGTTGGCGTATGGGTTCAACTGTCGTGGATTCATTTGACAGCTGAATTCTCACTAATTAGCTAAGAATATTTCTTGCTTATATAGGTAACTATAGGCTCCAAATCGCTGCACAGGAAGAGTTATTCTTCACATGCAGACAATCTGATTGGTTGGCATTGACCAGTCAGCGAGCAAGTTTTGGGGAGACTTAAGAAAGCTTCTGGGATCTGTTTCTCCCAAAAGTGCACAAAATTGACTACATGAAAATAGAGTGATTACAAAATTGTCGCATTGCTGCAATTTGTAAATTGTCTATAATAACGTAGTGGTGATTTATTAACCAATGAATGCTTGTCATTGTATGTGATTTGTATTTTTGTATGTATGTGTGTGCGATATAGCTCGGCACACCATCACCTATTCTTCTTTTTGGAGCTGGATTTAGTTGTCAGAAGCTATTTGAGACTCATGACATGGAAACATTTTATAGTGTAGTGGACTCCCTGGCGCGGAGGGGGGGGGGATATAATATGGTCTTTGTGCCCAAATAAGAATAATCACTGAAGGCTAACTAATATTTTTAAAATAAAAGACGTGAATCTGACAGGTCAACAAGAGGACAACAAACTTAAAATTAATACAAAGTTTATTTACATCATAAACAAAAGTAGTGAATGAATCAACTAATGGAGGCAGAATTAAGTAAGTGAAGGGGTATTGACCGGCTAGAAGATCTAGATAATATATCTGTGACTAAATGTTTAAAGTAGAATCCAGGTAAGTTAATGGCATGAAAAGCAAAGTTCGAAAGTTCAGTTCAAATGTCTGGCGAAAGTGTTGAATAGTTGCTGATTAAGTCCAATGATGAACCTTTCGTAGTATTTAACCAAAGTGTGTGGAATAGGTTGTTTGAAGTCTGGACGATATAGCCAAGAAGAAGAAAGTTCAATTTAAATGTCCAGTGCTGGCATTGAGTAGTTGCTGGTTAAGTCCAATGATAAACCTTCCATAGTATTTAACCAAAGTGTACGAAATAGATTGTTTGGAATCTGGATAATATGCTTACAGCAACTTCCTAAACCACGTGAGTTAGGTTGACAGGAAACGCCAGAAGTAGGGAGCTGTGTGTAGCCAGAAGTTTAGGGCTGTTGTAAGCAGGTCCATTAACACCAATCAACTAGGTGAGTTAGGTTGAGATAGAGATGCCAGAAGTAGGGATCAATGCATAGCCAGAAGTTCAGGGTTGTTGTAAGTAGATCCATTAACACAGATCAACCAGGTTAGTTAGGTTGTAGTAAGAACACCAAAAATGGTCTCTCCATGTGTTGCTGGAAGTAGAGAGCTGCACAAGTCTAGAAAAGCCTGCAGTATGGGGCTGTTGCAGCCGTTGTATGAGTAGAAATGCTAGTAGTAGTAGGCGCTTTTAGCCATTGCAAATACTGGAACAAAAGCCAAAAGTAAAAAAGTCAATGTGGCTGGAAGTATGCCCAGATTGGAAACTACAGAAGTAAAGTAAGATGTGCTAGAAGCTAAGGGGCTATGGTAGCCGAAAATTATAAAGGCCAGTAATGGCGGAAGTAAGAGTCTGTGGTAGCCAGAAATAATAAAGGGCAAGATTGCCAGAAGTAAGACTGGACAGGAAAACCCAGCTAGCATCCAGTTGGCAGAACAAAAATAAATGGGCATGTAACGCAATACATGACTGCATTTTGCCTCCTCCTCATCCTCCTTGAGTGGTGAAAAACCTACAGGTGTATATGGCAAGGCTGTATAGTAACAATTCTAGGGCTTGCTAAGTACTTAAAATCTAAAGAAAATAAATTTCAAGTTGTTATGAAATATAAAAGGTATTATGTAATGTTCCCTAAGAGTATGTAGATTATATTAGAAATAATCGAGCAAGAAAAATTATGGTTGATAATAAATCTAAAAAAAACTGCTGTATTAAATTGAAGGGATTGGGTTAACGCAATGAAGAAAAGGAGTAAGGTCATGAAGATATATAGCATCTACCCTTGATCGTGCGAACAGAATAGCAAAAGGGCTACGATAATAGACAATGGAAGCTTACCCCCACTATCACCTCTGGCTGTGACAACCTTTGGAACATATATAATGTATGTATACAAACATTATATGCATTAAATGAAGTAATATCAACTATTTTGATCAATTTTTGACTAGTACTTTCTTTCATTTTAATTTTTGTTGTTTTTTATCACAACTTTGGATAGGCTGTGATGACCTGATTAAAATTACAAGAAAAAATTTAGTTGGAAGAAAGTACAAGTCAAAAATTAATGATGATGATGATAATAGTAATAATGATTTTCTATTAAATGACATTATATTAAATTTTCTACTGAATGACATTATATTAAATTGCATAATAAAATACTAGAGTCAAAATAAGTCTTGTCTCAATGAACATTTGTCAGTAACATGACCTAGGTAATAAATTCTTCATCTTTAATTATATGAATTGATTTGAATTTTGGGGATAGAAAACCTTGAAATGCAAACCAATTAAGGCATTGGCCAAAGTACGAAGTTGATACAAAAGTTTGCAATCTTCTGCATAATATTAGGGAAATGTTATAAGTGTCTTTATTGCTCATTGTATAAGAATTGTTGACAGAAAAATTATAATTCTACTTAATTTTGATGAAAATCACAGCTAAATCTGAAATGCACATTCAACGCTGTTCCCTCTTTATGTTCCATCTGAGAAAAAAGTGCAGCAGAAGCTGAGCAATGATATTTATGATAATGAGTAGGTGCAAGCATGTGTCGGGAATGGTTTACAAAGATTAAAAGGGTATAAATAATGATCTTCAAGAACTGTGATTTTGCAAACTGAGTATCAGGGAGAACTTTTGAAAGAAGATGAAGTACAAACATGAAGTTGCTGAAGAATTAGAGGTGAAACTGTCAATTTATCTGAATGACACTTTCAAATGGAAAAGACCTTTTTAGGGTCAGAAAGTTAACTGTTCTTTTGGTGGCAGGGGTTGCATGACAACTCATGTTGCAAATATAACACAGCAAACAAACATGTAGACAACCGTGTGTGTTTGAATGTTGTTGTATTAGAAACACGTGTGTAACTCCTGGTAGAATATTAAAAGGTCCAACTACAAGAAATTAAGTCCAACTGAAGATAAAAAAGACAAACAAGACCGAGATATATATATATATATATATATATATATATAAAAAAATATATATATTAAACAAAACAGTTTTACAGTGACATAATAATAATAATTTATTCAGCTAGATAGTATACCATGTTAATGAAATGTTTCTATCATCTATATATTCTTTTGGATTTATTTATAACTAAAACTTTGTTTCATTCATAAACCTTTCTTAAAGCTAGTTATCAATATTTTTAATAAGGAAAATTATAAGCTGAAACTTACATGATAAATTATTCATATAAATATATCCTGAAAAATTTATCAATATCGATTGATTCGTATCAATTGTGACTTGTAAAATAAAATTCAGACATTGACCTTAATTCATCTTGAATAATTTTACTTACTTTTATTTATATAGATTCCTTCAGAAGTGAAGAAATTATTTGAAGATCCAACTTTGCAAGATATTAATATTGACGTGAGTATCTGAACCATTGTAAACATTGACCTACTCTTCCTTTTTTAGCTTCATTTCCTTCCTTATTTGAAATTTCCACACATTTCTTGTTCTTAGATTGATCAATAACTTGAAAATTAGCTGGATTTTAATTAGAAATTTTGAATGTATAATGTTCAATGTCCATGATTAATATTCATCAGTCAATTAAGTGTATTGAGAAAGGAGAAAATTCTATTGAAAAAAATTTTTTTTTTCTTTTCTTTTTCTGTGGTCTTATTGACATCCTGTTAATACAGGGTTTTTGATTTTATTTTTGTAATATTTTCAAAGCTATCATGAGTATTCCATAATCTTTTTGGTCTTGTAGAAAAAAATCAAGCCAAATTTGCTTTGATAAAGTCCCTCAGAGGACGAAACATGTCAGCTAAGATGAGTTTTCCTTTTGTCTTTATACATATTGTTCTTTTACAGATATACAGGGCATGGTGGATAAATTGTTATTTAAATTATGCATTTTAACAGATATATTTACCAAAATTATGCAAAAATATCTTGAAATACTAAAGAGTAAATTTATTCAATAAAATCGACATTGGCTTCAACCACAGCCTCCAGACAATTTTGGAATCTCCTGCAACTCTTCTGGATGGTCTCCTTGTTTAAGTTTGTGAAATCTGCCATAATCCTTGCCTTCAGTTCATTGGTTTTATTGGTCTTTAGCTCAACTGCACCCCATGTATAATAATCGAGGAAGTTGCAGTGTAGGGAGTTAGGTGGCTAGATGCAAGGGGTGATATGGTCACAGAAATTGTCTAACAGCCATGACTGGGTTCTCCTGCTTGTGTAGCGTGGTGCAGTCCTGTTGCCAGATATAGGGTCTTCCAGCAGCCACCCTCTTGACCCGGGACAGCATGATCTCCCTGCCTATAGACCTCATTGACTTGGAGGGATTGTTTTCAATCAAGGCTTGGATATCACCAACATATTTGGGAGTTTTTTTTTTTCTTATCAGAACGATCAGAGTAAGTTTTCTGATCTGCTGTACCTTCGTAATCACCATTAGTCCAACTCTTTCTGAATCCTCTGCACTGTCCTCAGATTGACACCTGAAAATTTTTTGTATTGGAACTTCCGGTACGAATACCAAGCAGTACAGTATGCCATTTCCAAATGTCTCTTTTGCATTGTGCTCTTTTTCTCACAAACAGTGACAAACTGACACTAATATACTGTGCAGACGATAAAAATAAAAACAACACACATGCACAAAATTAAAAATATAAAATGGCTACAATTTATCCATCGCACACTGTATTCTATCTGAAATTTTATACACACACACACGTGTGTATGTGTATGTATGCACGAATATAAACACACACCATAAACAAGTTTTTTTATGTTCCTTTTATTAAAGGATGAGTTCTTTTTCATTTTTATATTTTCTTTTTTCTGTCTTTTCTCTTAAAAGAGCAAACCGTTCTGGATTATGTTGCAAGCCATAAAAGAGTTTACAGAAAATGAGGGAAATGGTAATATCATCAAGATTTTCTTTTATCAATTTTCCATTTCATTAAAACGTTTCATTTTTCTTTTTCTCTGCAAAATAACAAATTTCTATGAGCCAATTATTTTCAATCAAGTGTCATGACATACATGTTACCAACTGTAGAAGGGAATGTTGCAAGATTTGAAAACTTAATTTAAATACCAAACAAGATAAAAAAAAACATTCAGTTCCTCAAAAAGCCTAAATTAAATCTATGATCAGAATAAAATGTCTTCAAATGGAATTTACCTAAATTTTGATCTGCTTTGTTTCCTTGGAAACTCCAGAATTTCTTTCAAATCAAATTTAAACTATTTTATTTCACCAGAAGAGTCCCCCATATAGAGTATCACTTTGAAGCAGACTCTTCCAGTGACATTATTGCTCGTTTCTGTTTAGTGAACTCTTCTGACAATATAGAAATTAGTCTTCTGGTGACATAGAAATCATCGTTATTCTATACGGAATAAAATTTTATTTTTATGACACTATAGGTAAACAAGTTAACAAATACAATACTAATGGTTATTTTATTATAATTTCTTATTATTTATGGTAAAATAAAAAAAAATAAAAAATGCAACACTAATCACAATTGTATTCTTTTCCTGCATTCACAAAAGCGTAACTGACCCATAAAGCATAACAAGGAATATGGAGATATAACAGTAAAGTCAGAAAAAAGGTTTTAGACAACAGTTCCTTCTTTTTAGAAGAGCACTTTCTAGTTTGGCAGATGAATTCTTTTATTATTCTAATCATTCTTAGTCCTAAATTTTATTACTACATAAGTAAAGCTGACATGAAAAATATCGCACTCTCACATTATTTATACAACCATAGTTTCATAATAGTTATTACATTTTTACTAAGTCATAATGCAAGTTAGTATTTTCACTATAAAATCAGTATCAACCAACTAATGTAGATAAATTTAAGGATATATATCAGCAATATTTTGTATGAGTTTCAGCTTATAATATCTATCCTTATAAAAATATTTGTAATGACTTGTTTTAGGTTTTATTATACAACTAACTTAAAAGCCGCCCTATCAGGTGGCATTTAAGCTAGCTCCTGCAGAGGGTTTGTGATTGGGCCTTTGGCTTGTTCAGGTGTTTGAGAGTCTCTAAGTCTTTGCATATTCTCAGCACTGGAAGCTCTCCTGGCTGCTATTTGATCTGGGTTTTCATTTGCACAGAACTTCCTTTTCCTCTCTGCAGCCTTGGTTCTTTTGATTGCAATCTAGTCGTCTGTTGGCAGATATTTCTTTTTGCGAGACATACTACTACCGTATGCAATAGACAACAATAAACCATAGAAGAAATAAAAACTGATCGCCACATTTAAGTATTGCATTACTATTTAAGCTTACCTTTTAAAAGTTCAACGATAATTCTTCTGTCACCACTTAATTTAAAGATAGTTTGATGTATATAGGTCCTTACTTTCCCCACAAACAAATATTTTTATTTGATGGGTGACTTTTGCTGGATTTCACAATTAATTCTGACTATTCCCAAATTTATTTCCAACTTATAAAATTATGGTACAAAAAAATTTGTCACAAAAAAAATCATGTAAAAAAAAATTGCCAAAAACAATCACAGTAATGAAGACTTAGGAATCCAAAATTTCTGTAACATGAGCTATTGAAAGTTAGAGAGTTGTATTCCTTTAATTGAAAAAGTGAGACACAGTGACATTCACATTTATTATATAGAAAAGTGCATCATAAATTTATATTTATAAATAAATCCAAAAGATATAGGCCATAGAAACCTACACACAAAACCTACCTGAATAAAATATTATTTTACATATGGGCTCCTTGATATTTTATAACCTTCATCTGTCTTTCAACCATTGAGTTTGTTAAGTATTGTTTCAAATTTAACATTACTTGCAATAGTTTTTATTGCTTCCCAGAAATCTTCTTTACATAAATACTTTTCCATTCTCATATACACCTCTTTTAATGATGGATCCCAAATTTTCTATTGGTTTAATAACTCCATTAATTTAATGTTTGTGAAAACTTTTTGATAAGGTGAGCAATATTCAGCTTTACTGAATATGAAAGAGCATTACCATTCTTTAACTTAGGGCTTCTTGACTGTGACCTGTTTCATTCAGAAGATGTCTTGTCCAAGAATTTATGATAATTCTCGGTATTTATCTTGACACCATCATCAACTTTGAAGTAACTTATTACTGCCTACAATATTAGTCCAAAATATTACTCCATCTCCCCCTGTTGTCTTCAGGTTGTGTTGATTGACTATTTCTATGAAGAACCCAACTTCTCGCTCAGCCAATATGCTCAGCCAATGTAGCTTTACATTCATTAGTAAAAATTACTGTTGTTGAAAAACAAATTTTCATTTACTTCTTCATCCAATTTTCTTTTTGTGTTTTTTTTTTTTCTGAAAAGTGGTAGTTCTGTTGCTTTCATGCCTTTAATGAATGTTCTTAATAATCTGTATGTTTCTTTTATTTACATTCACAATACTAATTTCTTCAAATATTTTCTTACTAATCAATCCACCTTTCTTGCTTATTAATCTTTTTTATCAAATCTCTTTGTTACATTTGTGTCAGGTTTTTTTTTTTTTTTCTAATTTTGGCAATGGTTTCATTTCCTTTTTTGATTCTCTGTTGATCTCTATTCAACTTTTTCACAATTTCTAACATTGTATTCCCTCCATTGAATAACTTTACAATATCTGGTTTCTCTTTTGTGGTTGCATCTTATGACCATGACAATCTTTATATATATTAAATTAAAAAATCAATATCTATGCTATTTATTTATTGTTCATATAAATAGTGAGTTTTAGGTAGTTTATATTTTATTTAATTCTAACAAACACAGTGTAATTGGTATATATCTTCTAATTAATTATATGCAATCGATATTCTTCCTGATCCACTGGAAAATGTATTAACTTCTATAATGCTAATATCATGAGACTGTGATGAAATTTACAAGGACTAAATTTAGGGCCTACTTTGTAACAAGCTTCACAAACCCAGCATTTGAGATTGAAACGAGTTTGCTGTGTTGATAAGCCTCCAATCAAATCTATCATCATCATCATCATCACTCACTTTGTTTCAAGTACTACTTCTATCTTATATGACTTGTTACATTTGCATACTTTACATTTTCTTAGGCTTTAATCTCACAATAAATTTAGTATGAACCAATCAATACTGGCAAACTTTTCATGATATATTAATATCATACCATATGAAAGATGCAGGTTATTAAATATTATTTTACTGAGACTAAAACAATAAGATTGAAATAAATATTAGCTATAACTTAGCACATAAATTTGGAGGAATGAAATCTATTCATTATTGTGTTGAAAGTAAAAGCCTTTCACTTCACAATAATCAATTATAAATTTGCACATAAAAGATGGGACATTATCTTACTTATTATAAAATGCAGGTTGTGTGTGTGTGTGTGTCTGTAACGTTTATATGTTGGATCGAATTTCCTACATTTTTTAGCCGATTTCAACAAAACCTCACAGGACTACATAAAATTACCTTTTGGTGGTTCTAACGGCGCCGAAAATGGGAAAAACACAGTTGTTTTTTTAAGAAAATCAATTTGAAAACACGATTAAGACACATCGTGAGAATGAAAGGGGGACAACTCACCCACGAAAATGTAAACAAAAGAGCATAACATGATGAAAAAGACGCCCAACTTGACGAAAACAAACTTTTATCATCTAATGTTCATATTATTATTAAAGAGGAAAGATCAAAGTATTTTTGGGGTATTTTTTTACATTTTTTAATCGTTCCTAGCACGTCTGAAATTTTCGTTAAAAATATTGTTTTTTTTTTTTTGGTAAAAAAAAAGGACAGATAATCATTTTCAATCATTTTTTTCGATTTGATAAAAAAGATTAAAATCTTACTTTGATATTCTTTTAAAAATCAATTATCATTTTTTCAAAACTGATTTTAATAAAAACAGATATTATACTTTTTATATATTTTGAACCAAGCTTAACTTAGCTTCTGCGCCGAAAAAATGTAATTTGAAAATAAAACAAAGCAGGTCATAACCTTTCGCGTCGCTTGACGCTTGACGAAAGGCACATTCATGATGTTTAGATAACTTACGGGAGGGTAATTCTTTCTACGGATGGAAGGAATTGAAATTATTTAAGTGAACAAATTATTTACCTCGTTACTTTTAAGGAAAACTTTCAGCGCTCTAATTTTTTTTTTTTTTTGTACTTAGCTTTCATTTTTACGTTTACGATGCTTTATGGAAAATATAAAGAAATTAAAAAATAAGACTGTTAATAGTGAGATTAAATTTCATAAGAAAAAGGTATCTAATTAATTTAGGTACCTTTTCTTATGAAATTTTATCAGAAGTGTACATAAAATACTATAATTTTATGTACATTTATTACATTTTACTGTGTTATTTGTATTTCCATTCATTTTATTATTAATTTTGATATTTCATTTATGGAAAAATGTCATAACTGAGATTAATATAAAAATAAGATCATATAAATTAAAGTTTAGCAGTAGTTAAATTTCATAAGATGATACTGTTACTTGTAGGTACCCTACTCAGTTGAAATTGAAAACTCAAATTAACTTCTCCATAATGTGTTTCGCTTAAAAGTAAAGGGCTTAACAGCGGAGAACAATGCTGAACTCAAATAATGCAACTAAATTGTATTCTGGTTGGTCTTCCGTTACTGATAATTACTGTCCGACTATAAACACAAAAATTACATTTCTTAATTACCATAGGTAATCTGATTGGTCCAAATTATACAATTTTCAAAGTGCTAGACAAATCTCACACGGACATTTTGAAAGGTTGATGTTGCATTTAACTAATGTTAAAATATTTTTTAAAATTCAATTTAAACATTTTTTAAAAATCTTTTTAAAATTAAAGAAATAAGAAATAATTGTATTAAAAATTCAAAAAATTTTTTGCTTCCAGAAAATATTGTCCATATTCATAAAAACAAATTAAAACATTTGAAACTAAATAATATATTTGTTTTATTGAGTTTTGTATGTTACAATTCATAGCTGATTTTCAGGTACGTTGGCCAAAAAAAAAAAAAAAAAAAAAATACATGATTTGCATTCTTCAAAGCCTTGTGCTTTTAACTATTGTAATCACTAAAACCGATGGTCTCGAATTTCTAGAGTTTTTCATAAAATTAGTTATGGGGGTGTTAATAAATATAAAAAAAAATATTTCTGCCATGACTTTAATAAAAAAAAAACATATTTATAATAATTTCAATCATCTGTGAATAGTTTCTGAAAGTTTCATTAACATCTGACAATTATTTTTATTTTTGCAAGATTTTCCAAATTAATGTGTGTAAATACAAAAAAAAAGCGCTAAAAATTATCTAAGTTATTTACTACCCCTTGTTGCGACAAAGAGAAACAAGGTTTTTAAATCAAAATTTAGAATATTCTAAAAAGATGGAAAAATTTTAAAAATAATTAAAAAAAATTTAGTCTATCCTCTTCATAAAGACATAAGCATTTTGACGATAAAATTTTGTTTTCATAAACTTTAGCGTCTTTTTCATCAGACTATGCTCTATGTTTTAGCGATTCTGTGGAGTGACTTAGGTTAAAAAACCCAGGTTGTTTATGTGCGTGTGTGTGTGTGTTCCTTTATATATGGGATCGGATTTCTTACATTTTTCAGCCGATAAAACAAACATCCACTTTTATTTTTGGCAGGTAGTATTTCTTATTGTCTTGCACACTTTTTTCTTTATTTACATTCAGAATGCTTTAAAAATTCCATTTACAAGACAATTGTTTATAATAAAATTCTATTCACCAATCGATAGACTCATAACGATTGTAAACAATGTTTTTGTTTGAGTTTGGGTTTGACCAATTCGTAAAAAAAAAAAAAAAAAAAAATAATTAAGACATGCGTGTCCGTCAACCTTAAACAATAATCTTTGTCAATTTTATTTTTCAATCTTTATGATGGTCGATACTTGATCTATCTTCTTACTGTTACATCCCCGGGCAACACCGGGCTCTACTGCTAGTAATCAATAAATTCTAGCTTCACAACCATAATGAAATTAGTTATTTTAGTATTTATATAATAATCTGATTTCTGTATGTTTTTGTTATCATAACGTAGCAAAAACAGTAGCTGATGACATAATTTTTGTTAGTATAATACTGTTAAATTGTTCTAATTTAAAGAATAAAGCTGTCCAATCAGGTTACCATTTTTCAAGTAATTTTCAATTAAGTATAAATTGACTTCCCCAAAAGCCATTCTAATGGAGATAACTCCAGATCTAGTTTAGTGATAATCAGCATGTGCTAATAACTACAAATTCTATAAAGTGATTTGATATTGAACAGAGACTGCCAAAGTTGGCATTTAAGTAAGTAAAACAAAATTTTTCTTAAATATTCTTTTCTTTTCTTCTAGGTGCTCTCCCTTTGCGAGGAACCATCCCAGACATGACTGCCGATTCCAACCGCTACATCCAACTACAGAATGTTTATCGAGATCAGGCATTGAAAGATGCAGATGTTGTTTTACACAGAGTCCAAGATTTACTGCAAAGAATTGGGAAGGTCTGTACTAAGTGCTTTTGATTTTCATTATTAGGGCTTTAATTCTTTGGTAAACATTCCAAAGAATTTTTCTTTTGTTTAACGTTAATTTTGCAGTTGTTTCTTCTGAATCTTTAGATATGTTTTTCCCCAGCTCTCTAATCTATATGGGCATTGCTGTAATTAATAAAGGAAAACAACCCTACCTTTCATCTTCATGATGTTAAAAAATATCAACTTCTTCACAGATATATTTAGGTTTGCATTTTAATATTTTTTTGCAATTTATTTCTGACAATTCTAAAAATGGATATTTGTCTGTCTTATTCAACAAGAAGACTTCCCTTACAAATAGTGTTAGCTTTTACTTAACAAAAAAGTCTATATCCTTTTAAATTGGTGAATGCTGAACAAAAGACAGTCATCAAACACACCTCTTAAAAAATAATTGCAAAAGTTGGCTCGATTTTTTGCAGTATAAAGATTGAAGAGTTAAAGAGCCATGATTTTAATTTGGATGAAGATAATAAAAAAAAAAATTAAAATATACTGGAAGCCTCTGTTATTAATGTTCTGAAAAAATATTTTTGGATAAATACTAATTTCATATTAGAATAAACAAAAGATTTCTTGTAGAAGGAAGCTATACCAAAGCGAAAGGAAATGAGATATAGTTTGATATGACCCCATGTAATGTTGATGTTCCCCAAAGCACTCTTTCATAGTTTTCTTAATGAATTACTGTCTAGCTGTAATTGGACTCCATGTTAAACCCCAAGAAGTTAGAGAATTTATCAGACCAAACATAAAAATAAATATTTAGATGAGTTGGTTGGACATGACAAACTCTTGTACAATAATGAAAATTTTGATATCTGTCTATATGATACATTATGTACATTATTTACATTATTCGGACTATTGTCCTCATCTTTGTCGCCATATTTATTACAACATTTCAGCCGTTGTATGCTCTGGCCTTCTTCAGGTGGTCGAACTGAACCCTTTATTTCGCTCACTGGGGTAGACTATTCTAGTTCCACGTGCCATGTTTAATGGATGTCAGTTATCAGTTATCTCCTGTTAATTTCCCTCTGAAAGTTCTCCACTGCCTTAACTGGGTATTTGGGTCCTGTCACTGGATCTAACTAACGCCTTTATCCACTGTGCTATGTGTCCTCAAGGACACTGACATCCATTAAATGTGGCATGTGGAACTAGAACAGTGAGCGAAATAAAGGGTTCAGTTTGACATTGCAACCACCTGAAGAAGGCCAGAGCATACAATGGCCGAAACATTGTAATAAATATGGCAACAAAGATGAGGACAATAGTCCAAATAATGTAATGAAAATTTTGTATTTGATGGCCTATAAAATCCTATTAAGATTTAATATAACAGTATTATGGAGTTAATCTATGATGTCTGGATAAACATCAGACTCCTAAGTACCTCAATTTTGCATATAAGAACTGAGATAATTTTGTAGTCATTTATTTTTTTGTTGGTTAAGTTTAGTGGGGAGGGGTCTTATATGCCACTGAATACATTAATAATGCTCCCTACTCCTTTTATGTTTCTGATTGTTCATTTGATTTGTAGCAATCACCTCAATAAATTATAAATTTTTTTTAACATTTCTTTCATATTCATTTCTGTTACTTTTTATTTCAAATTGCCAGATCATCATTCTACAATTCACACTGTTTACTATCTGGGAATTTTCAGTAAAAAGCAACAAAAAGTAGGAATAACTTATGAGTTAGAAGCCATTTTTAAAGTGCAAGATAAATAACATGATCAGAATTAATAAAGTTTGCAATGAAAAGAAAAAAAATCAAAAAGTTGAAACCACAACAATCATGCAAGCAAGCTAACAATATAGTTAAAGCAAATCAAAGAAGGCAAAAGAATGCTAATTCCCAAACTGCATGAATTCAAACGTGCCACTAAGTTGGCATCTTGGTCCCAGCCTTTCACTGTCGAAACAGTTAAATGTAGCTGTCTCTTCTACTCCAATAGCTTCATGTCTCGCACTTCCTCTCTGTAGAACTCCATTCCTCTTACCTGCTTCCCTGATAGCTATAATTTCCAGCTATTCAAATGCAATGTCAATTGACATCTCCAGATGCCTTGATCTATTCTCTGTCCTTTTCTTCATCCTTTCTTCTTTCATGCCTCTTTACGCTTGCTCCCACTTTCTGTAACCCCTTGTGTGCTAGTGGCACTCCAACCTTGCTTGGGGTAAAAAGTTTTTTTTTAAAATTCACAAACTAAGAGTTGGTGTTTGTACACAAAAGCAAGGTCAACCAAGTAAACACAGTATGTCTGTCTAGTAGTTAAGGCAGATCTGGACTGAGTTATGTCAAAACGCAAGCCATCCCATTTTACTGGCTAAGAAAAATATCCCAGCATGCATTCTGTGTCCTTCAGACTATAAGAGAGGGAGGGGGAAGACTTTTGCAATCATTCCCACCCACATTTGGAAATCAACAATAACTACTAGTCAGACATTTAATAACTGACAATGGTTCATATAAGAAATTCAAATACCATTACAACTCAAAGTATCTTTATTCAAACAAAAACTATATATAAAATTATGAATAATCTTCTACCACCACTTGTCTTTAAAGTTTCAGATTGTATTAAATTCTCTTTTTCTTTCTTAAAAGAAGCAAACAATGTATTCATGAGAAGTAAATATTTTATGTTGTAATTTTTTAAAAAAAGTCACCATCCTTGTAAGAAATCTGATTTAGATGATTTTCTGTACTTATCCTCAACTGATAAGAAAGAGTTTTTCAATACTAAATAGAGTTTTAAACAATAATACTTGTAGCCTTATTCAGCAAATTTTACCATATCTGCAGATAAAAGCTGTTTTCAAAAGGATTGTTTTTCTTTTTCTCTATTATTGTACCAGCAACTTTTATTGTTTTTACAAAGCTATTTTTAGAATTTTACTAAAGTCCAAACATATGAAACTGTTTTTTGTTGTTGTCTTGAGAATTAACAACAAAAATATTAAACACTATTTATCTATTAAATTGTTTACTTACAAGAATAATTTTATATATGCAAGACTATAGAAATATATGAACCAATTACAATGCAATGTTTATTATTTACCATATAAAGAAATAACTAGGGCACCTCCAGGTGGTGTAATGGTTAGCAATTTTGTCTCACTAGAACAATTATGACTGAGTAGTGAGTTCGATCCTCACTAGGTGCCCCATACTTTCGGTCTTGGAAAATAACTATAAAGAAATAACTATGAAAACAATTTTTTATTCATAAATTTATAAAAATGCCTGTGAACAAGAGAACAAGAAAATTTAAATAATTATGACAACAGTAATTATAAATTAAAAATAAATTCTTTTTCCAGGCAGTTCTTTCATTTGCTCTCACCACATAAATTCACTAAAATAGGTCAAGAGCACCTGGATTTAGATTTTTTTTTTTTTTTTTTTTTTTGAGAATTGATAACAAAAATGATAATCACTATTTATTAGTCTGTTTATTTACAAGAATAGTATTTAACATTTTTGTTTTCAATTTTCAAGAAAAATCATTTTAAAATTAAAATTGCCAAAAGAATATATAGTAATAACAGTGCCAAGAAAAAACATTCTTTTGATACACTATTTCTTTGTGGATATATTTGTTAACTTTGCCTCTTATTCCATACATTTTTGTGAACTTTTTTTCTTCCTTAATGTTGTTCACATAGTATTGTGGCTGATAACATTCTTTGGCCTTCCTTAAATGTATTTAACAAAGATGAAAATAATTATCCACAAAATATATGCTGAATTTACCTCATGTTAGAACTTATTAATATTCTGTAAATAGTTGTAAGCAAAATTTAATAGTTGTGCCAGTTTCCTCACCTACAAATGATATCATTTGAACCAAATGTGAATTATTGAACCAGATTCATTTGTGTAATACCTCCCCCTCTTCAAACCAAATTTTTAGCAATTTGAAGTTTTTCCCTCCTTTTCTCTCTGATTCAGGCATTAGTTTCTTTGATCTAAAAATGTCAAAAAGAACTGTTAACAAAATTCAAATGCCACCACTGCTACCAACAACAGCACAAAAGCAATAATGACTACTCTTCTTCTTCTGCCATATATAATTCTACTTTTATCTTAATTGTATCATCATGAGGTTTCAGTTGATATTTTCTTTGGCCTTCTTCAGTTGTTTATTGACTACTCCTGTCTCTAAAAGTTGATTGTATGTTTTTTTTTCCTATTCCTTCTATTGGGCAACTTCAGTTACAAAAATAAAGAGGAGACAGAAAAGATAAAAAACAAAGCCTAAAGACCAGATGCAAAACAGACCTAAGACAGATCAAAGAATACATTGGATGAAATCTGCTAAAAACAACTAAGATGAAGACAGTAACTAAAACAAAATTTATGGAATAATAAAAGCATTTCATCTCTGAATTTTAGAAAACGTCTCTAAAAGGAACAGAAAATTAGTAATTACTCTAAGATAGACATTATCATAATTCAGCAAATCTGTTGTCATATAGGTAGAATACCTTTTCTCCAATTTAGATACCATATTTGGTAATTAGCTCATAAATTATTAAGTGAAATAATCAGCCATCTAACATATACGACTATTTACTTTTTGTATACTTCATTAACTGATACTATAAACATTATAAATATTTTATATGGCAGCTTTTAATTAGAATTATATTCAGTAAAAAATAAGTTGAAACATAAAATTTGGATTAACTATTATAACCAGTGGCAGACTGAATCTAAAAATATTGGTTGCCAGGAGAGAAAAGGGAACCCACCCACAACTACAATGCTATCATTTAATTTTCATAATGAATAAATAAAATTTTCAAAAAATACATATGGAAAAAGGCTACAATTAATTTTTTTGTGGAAAAAAAATAAAGTATTTCTTCTTAATTTCAATGTACATGTACTATATACATTACTGGTAGTATATACCAAATTTAAATCCAGAATGTTATAATTTAATTTTTTTACTCATTTTTTTTAATATTAAGTAATTGGTTGATATTTTGAAATAGTTTAATGCACAATTTGCACATTAAGAGATAATTCAAAAGTACAATTCACTCATTGTATACAGTTCACTATATTAAGAGAAATCATTTGTGTTCACTTGATGATTGTACAAATCTACCAATAATTGCAATTCATCAACCCATTCCTTTTCAATGCATAGATGATTCCAAATTTCCTCAGACAATGAATTTCTTAACCTTGTCTATGATCTTTAATTTTGAAAATGTCTTCTCACATTGAATTTTAGTAACTGCAAGTGTGCAGATGACTTTATAAAGTTCTTATTCCTTGCTATTATTAAATCAGTTGTCTGTGTTCGTTTATTGCATTTTTATTTGATATAGGGAGCCCACTCTATCAGGGACCCACTTGCCACCGAGCAAGCTGACACCCTGGCCAGTCCACCACTGATCATAAGTATTTAACATTTAAAATTCTAACTATTATTATTTTTAACTTTAGCAGATATGGACAATTGTCATGAAGAAAGTAAGTCATTTAGTCTCCATGATAACAAATTTCTTTAAATAGTTTCTTTTTTCATCTCAGAGATAGTCAAATGCTTTTGAAACATTGTGAGTTAAATTTCATTCTATTTTCAAGTGTTGGTATCTTCATCATGTCATTTTTTTGATACTGCCTTTTTATTTTCATATACCTATAGGTGAAGTAAGGTTTATAATGTGTCCTACCATCTTGTTTAGTACCAAAGATGATCAACAGATGGCAAAGTAGAAGAAAAAGAAATGTGCTGCACAGTGTTTTTCATTAATTATGAATAATATGACATGCTGCTATTCAAAAATTTGGAGAATTTGAATACCATGTATAAATCAAATATAGTACACATTTTTGCTACTATCCTTTGTGAGCAGTGTCCTAACACCTAGGACTCTAAAACAGATGGTTAAAATTAGATGTTAGCGTATTTTTTATGTCCAAATTCCATGAATTTTGGGATAGCATTTCATATATCATCATATACACAAACATATCTATTTTATAACTAGAACCTAAGTTTTCTTTTCCATTCAAAAACTTTTACAGTTTTATTATTGCTTGGCTTATAAACAAATTTGTTTCCATTTTGCTCAGATCAATGAAATAGCAACACTGTTTTCTTTGGTAAACATTGTATATACTCGAATAAAGGTCAAGTTATAATGACGAAATGTTGAGATAAAAAGTTGGGCATTGTTCTTTTTTAGTAAAGGTTGGAATCCATGTATGATAGGAAAGCTTGATTTACAACATCAAAAATATTCACCAGTTACAACCAATAAATAACAGGCATTTAGCAATTAGTAATGAAAATTGTGCAATGTTTTCAGCAGCTGAAGTTTACCCATTTATAGAAGGTGAAAAACACAAGGTTTCCAACCATCATCTCTTTTCTAATCAAATATTTGTTATTTTGAATCAATAAAAAATTATGATAGCTTAAGAAATAGTTTGCCTGATGACAAAGGATTTTTACTAACTTCTCAATGTTCGAGATGTTATTTGTTTTGAGTTTTATTTTAATGCTACAATAATGTTCTATTTATACTATGTTTGATTTACATATAAAATTTGACCAAAATTAATTTATCTTCACTTTTCCATCTGTTTTATCCTAACCAACTCAAATGAAATTTTAGAAAACAAAGCTCTTTCAATAACAAAATTTGATGTCTGGTCATTTGATAAAATTTTCAGAATAACTTTTCAGCATCTCATCATATCAAACGTTGTGATATCATGTTGTGCTCCCCACCCACTCATCATGGTTGACTACAATAATTGGCCATAGGATATATTCAAAGATTTTGAAAAGATGCTTGAAACAGCAGATAGCACTGAACCTTATTCAGACTGTTTTTACCTTTTATCTATGATAAAGATGAATTTATAAATTAGGTACAGTAAGAGATTTGCAACAATAACTAATAATAAAATAGAAAAATAAATATATACTGATAAGTTATATAAGGAATAAAAGATTTGTTCTTACCATAGATCTTAACAACCTCAACATATGTTTATTTTTTTTTCTTCTTTTTCATTGTTTAGAAGTTTCATGTTTTCCCTTGAAGGAAACATTTACAATTGCATTTTGTGATAACCAAATTATCATCATCCCTATGTTTGCACTTTGGGACCATTATTAAGTAAAACTTATGACTTGTTGCTCTGAAGATGACCATGGGTAACTGAAACCACAAATGATGGGAGAGGAGCAGTGCTTAACAATGCTTTGTAGTTGTTATTACCTGAGAAGTAGATACTAGAGAGTGGTCCACCCAGAAATTCGTTCTCTCCCTCTTCTCTGACAACCAGTGTGGCATGTCAACAGTAAGATATTTTTTTTAAGATATCTGGCAGTGGGATAAAACCAGGGATTGTGGGTTCATGACTTTCCTAAGGACATTAGTGCTAAATGAACATAAGCAGCCTGAGCCAAAATTTGAACTTGATTTGCAATTTAATTTTCCATAACAATAACTGCCCTGACACCTTTGCCTTATGCGGATATATATAAATGACAAAATGAATAAAACTCCTTTGTAACATGTTTCATTCTAGGAAGGAATCTCATCAGATTAATATTTGTTAATGATGCATTTTGTTTCTTCCCAGAACAAAACACATCACTAAGGAGTTTTTTCTATTTTGTCATTCAATTATCCATTATTCATCTGCTATATACATTTGTATATCCTATTATCCACACAGTTCTGTCAAATTCCATCATAAATCAATGCTTTATATTCACTTGATCTTCAATTTATAAGACAGAGATTTTTTATTATCAGTTTTCTGAAATGTTTTTTAACATACAGCACTTTGTTACTCTTTTTTATTGATCTGTTACTAAACTGGAGTCATGATAAATTATAATGATTTGTCAGTCAGAATTCAACTCTAGACCTATACACAAGATTGACAGGCATATACTGTATAATTTTATAAAAATTGTAAAGAGAAAACTCATCTGCAAGCTTGTCATAACAGTGTGCAATGTCCGTTGAATAATTGCGATGAAATGAAAGTGACTACATTTTATTACTACTTGCAGCAAAAAAAATTTCTGCCAATGCAACAAAAATTTTGAAGGTGAACTGAAATACAAAATGTTAAATGTATCAATAGAGGAATGAGATTAAATAAAAATCTGTTTTTGTAGGGATTGTAATTGACATGACTTTAGTAGATGCAGTCAGTCATGTATGCACACATTTGGGTGACTGTTGATTTCTCTTGATTTTAGGAGGAGCCCATCATTACACCCAAACAAGTTGACCTGGCTCGGAAACCAGTTCTGTATCACGTTTTTCCTTTTGCTATATTTTCTGCCAAACTTGCTTTCTACATTCAAAGATGGGTGAACAAAATCCTTAATCATAATCGTCTTCGTTGATTTTTTTTTTGTTTGTTTCTTTTAAATGACGTGTATCCATCTAAAAGTGGCTTAATTGCCATTGGCTTACATCATTTTTGTGGAGTGCTGAAGGAAAAGGAAACAGATCTAGAAAAAATAGAAAAAAAATAATTTTATAATTATTTATATAATTGACCTGTGATATCACAGGTAGGATTTACACATATATATCAAAACTTTCATTCATTTATTATTACATAGTGACTTAAATTCTAGCAGTAGATTTGGAAATGAGACTATAATCATGCTTGTATTTTAGTGCCAACTGCATTTGAATTGGGGAAATATTGATATAGATATTATAAGACCCCTCCTTCACCACAACTTCACATGTAGATTTAGTCATTTTCTGCACTAAATATTCTTAGCAATTGTTGGGGTGGGTAAGGATTAAACAGTTTTTAATTTTTATCTTAAAATTTGTTTTAGTAATCTGTGTTATGCATTAAAAATAATCAAGAAAATATATTGTTGGTGGTCAGGAATTAATGCAAGTATCACTAATAGAGTAGGGCTATATATAATATATATGTTAATAATGGTTTTGGTATAGAAATTCATAAAAAATTAGAAAGAGATTGTCATTGGTAAGAAATTAACACAAGCATTACTGAGGAAATAGGATTATTAAATGTTTAACATACATTTGGTTTCATGTTTGAAAAGATAAAAAAAAAAATCTATGAAGATTTTTTATAACATGATGAGCAGAATGTGAGTAATCTACCCAGTTCAGTTTTATATAGAAATCATTCATAATTGCAAATTTAATTTGGTTGTTTGTCAACTGTACCAGCCTATCTTTCCAAATTATAGTTGAACTCGAGAGAGAGCTATAGAGATATCAACTGATCCCCAACAGACTTTCTGAACTGTCTGTAAATGACAGTTTAATTCATTGCAAACCAAAGGAGAAATCTAATATTTCCCAAATAAAATTGATTTTCCTAAGACTGAATATTTAAAATTGAGGATGAAAAAGGTGCCAAAACTGTTCAGTGCATAATAAATTATAAAAATCCTTATCAACTTGAAGACACAAAGAAAGACCGTAATTTTGAAGTAATCTGTATTCAGTGAACAAATGAGTCATGCATGGATTTTGTTAAAATTTCAATATTTATTTGCCTCATCCTCGGAATATGAAAGGAAATATTTCCTGCTTATTTATATTTGGGAATACAAAGACAAAAACAATCTAACATATGTGGGGGGTGAAAGAGAATAAAAAGAATTGATGTTACAGGGAATGGATAGAATGTTAAAGTAATGGATAAAGTTAAATGTAAAGAGACAAATGATTGGAAGTTAAGAGTAGTAACAACAGGGAAACGGCTAAATTATGAATTTCTTCATATATGGTTTTGTTGTTCAGAAAATTTTATGATAAAAAATGTATATGTTTATGAAAGAAAAAACATGAAATGAAAAATTAGCAATGGTTGATGGGATTTTATAAAGCTATTGTTAGTTTTAAATATTGTTTTTAATTAAATACTTATTTCTTGTAAGAAATTATTCTATATCATTTAAGTTTTTTGTTTTGTTTTCATTTAGACCATAATTTATCTTGCTATTTTGTGCTAAAAAATCGGTTTCAATTAGTAATATTTTCAGTAGCATGGCTTAACCAAAGAAAGCTGTATGACACGGTTGAATTGGCATTGCATAATTTGACAATTCCTGCTCAAATAAAAGTGATATATATGAATTAAACTAAGTTATTGGGAAAAGGAGAGAAGAGTAGCAATGAACAGTTGACATGAGAAAATAGCAGTTTACAGGAGGCGAGTGATGTTTTCAGGAGGTATTGTTGCTCAAGAAGGCTTTCCATATGGTCATAGTGGTCAAAGTATAAAGAAGAAACTTTGTACCTTGTCAAAGGTTTCTTTCTCCATTATCCACTTTCTTTCTTGGGAACTCCGAATAAGGAAAACAAATTGTGTTATATATTTCCTGAAGTCACTGGCTATCAAATAAGATGAAAATAAAACCTAAAGTTATTAATGCTTTTTTTTTCTTTTTCTTTTTTTTTTTTTATGCTATGTCCTTTCAGGATATGCATGATCATAGCTCTCCACAACTTCCTGCCTTTTGTTGCCACTCTTCTTTGTCTTTGTGATCTTTTTTTTCTGCTATCTATTCTCTTGTTACTGTTTCCTCCAGCTTCTCTTGCCTTCACTATATTTCCCACTGTAATTAATAAGTGAACCATTGTGTCCTTTGGCATATGGAAAAGGTTCTCCAGCTGATTGCAGATCTTGACCATATATCATTAAGCACCAAATAGGAAGGATATGCCCCCACCTACCATGAAGAAAAAACAAAATTCTACCAAAAGAGTTCCTTAGGTTTTTTGTTGCTAGCACATTTCAGCTGATTTGTTCTACAACTGTACAGTCTGTATGGAAAGGCCAAACCACAAAATGATAACCAATAGAAAAAGAAAAATGGTGGCAAATATATTAATTGAACCAACCACACAGCAACACTTGTCACATAGGGGATTCAATTTTTTATAAATGGGGTGGGGGTATTCTCCATTCCTTTTTATTCTAAACAAAAATCCATATCTACAAAGTTTGTCCGGAAATTATCCAGCCATTTAATATTGGGGGGGAAAAAATATCCTACCTAGGGCAATGGCATCTTATTTGTCTTCAATAGAATTTATATACTTATCCTAGTGTCCCTTCCACTTTTCAAAACTGTTCACAATCACCACAAGCTGCTTTGTCACATACTTCTCAATCTGATCCATTTTAACTTCTCCTTTTTTATAGCAATTGCCAAAAATCTCAGAAAGTTAAATCTCACAATTAATGGGTGGGAATCAAATCTGTGTGATGCAATGTTCTGCCATGAAACATGAAAAACTTACCCACTCAATCATTGTGATGTGACAGTCACACAGTACCAAAGACGACACTCAATTTCACTGCCAATCGAAAGTCCCTCTGATTATTCAAATGATCTGGATACTTTCCAGACTGACCTTGTACATTTATCAGCAAGGCTTTAGTTTAATATATGCAGCTTCTTTTAATTTTCTCACCTTTCAGTAATGCTTCATTGCTGTTATTTGCACTTTATCCCATATTTGTCACCATTTATTTTCTTTTGCTACCAGTTTGCAATTTCCTTTAGCAAAATAAGAGATACCCCCCCCCAACAACCTTTCTGTATAGATTATATACCTGAAGAAGGCTAGAGAACAGACTGGCTGAAACATTGTAGTAAAAATAAAACAATAAAGGAGGATATCAAGAGAATCAAAATCGAACCTTACCTCCAAGTAAGGCATTTGATAGATTTTTATATGTTTTTCTTAACCATTTTTAAAGATATTGTGTAAGTAGTTCTTAAAAAAAGATTTACTTTTGGGTGTTTGGGCAAAAATTACTGACTGAAAATATCCTTCTTTAATTTCTAGAAAGGCTTTATTAAAAAAAAAGTATAAAATAATGACACAATCTTAAAGATAATCTGTTTTATGAAAAAAATGGATTAACATTTTTATGTAACCAGGTCAGTGTAGCTTTACCAAATTTACAAGTATTAAGGATAAGAAAAAACAATAAACAATATTTAAGTAACTTTCATTCCACTTTTATTCATCAGCTTTTATAGGAGATCAAGTGACAGCAAGTCATCTCAGTACTCCAACACTCTTCTCAGTATATATCATGATGATTTTAGTAATGTTGTCATCTGGATTTAATTGTCCCAGTCTTTTTGGCTCTGTTCCAAGTGCACCCAAATTATAACTGTCACTTTCACATTCCATAATATTCCAGATCTTTTTCCACTAGTGTTGACACATCTAACAACAAACTTATCACTTCTCAACTCACACATCACACTCTCCGCTCACTCACAAATCACTAGCTTTGTTGAATAATACCAGTTTTATAGGTCCTCCAGTTTTCTTTTCCTTCTTTGGTTAGGGTCGTCACGCCATCGCAATAGGATTGCTTTGGATTTCTACAATATTGGGATTGACAGCAAAGTCTAGTGTGAACCCCTTATATATGTTGTGTACCACAGACAAAACTGTAACTCTTGCCTCTGGCCATGATAAACTTTTATCACTTTTCACCAGAGTGCATGTCAGAATTCAGGCTTAAATAAGAACTCCTTCAGTAAAATGCACTGCACTGTTGATAACTCTAAAAAAAGGTTCATTGAATATAAAGAAAAACTGGTTGAATAAATTGTCTCTTATTAGCTACCGCAAATCAAATTCTACACTGCAGGGTGGTGATTTAGAAATTTGTAGTTGCAACTGCTAAATTAATAGCCAGCCAGTTGACTCTTCCTCAATCCTTCAATCATGCATGTGCCTGTGTGTTCACTCAGGCCACCGAAAATGTGGGTGTGTTTCTCAGATCTGATGTCTGCTCCCCAATTGAAAAAAGGGACCATAAGCAAAATGCACACTGGCTTTATATAGGGAAATCTTTTCTGATAACTTCTCTTTGCCTGGCCAGGCCCCAGAAAATGACAATTCACAATGCCCAATTTCATTATTTCCATAAATTGAACAACTGGCTTTCTGACCAGTGAAGGAATCATCATCAAAAATCCCAAATATCTATAACAATTACAGACAATTGTCGCAGAAAAGGGACATCTTAATCTTAGAGGTAATCTTGCTATTTAACCATATTTAACCGTATTTCCTTTGTATGTTTAAAGTCTTCCTCAATATCAATTGTGTAAAGATAATTGGGTTGTTGGGTGATCAACATAAACAAATGCCAAATCTTGGGGCTTAATACAAAACATTTATTTTGTTTGTTTGTCTAAAATAAATTAAGAATTTTTTTTTTTTTTCTGTGACCACACTCATTTTCTACAGATACCTTATTGTGAAC